ATAGCTCAGAACCAACAGAAATCAAACTGAATGAAAGTCTGACAACTACGGAATTAAAGAAACCACACCCATCCAGACTGATAGGAAGAGAGAAGGCACAGAATGGGCTGGTCCCAAATCCATGTGTGGTAGATAAATACTTGGGAGGGATATCTCAGAAGTGAGCTCGCCCATCCCACACCAGGCCCCCTAGCCCAGGGTTTCAGTACTAGGAAGGTAAGTCCCCACAATTTCTAGCTGCAAAAACAAGCTGGGTCTGAATGGGTGGAAGAGATTTCTGAGGCCCCAAGCACTTCCTCTTAAAGAACCCACACACTGGATCACCTACTCAGAATCACTCTCTCTGGGCTCCGGTGACGAGGGGTGACTTGAGGGGCACCAGTGGCATGCAGGGGGAGGCTGAGTTGTATGGAATCAAGGTGAGCAGAGACCACTGTCCTTTTTCTGGGCCCTCCCCCAACAAAGCCGGCAGTCTGGTGCATTATCTAAGAGTCCATCAACCTGGCCAACACTGTCTGACCTGCCTTGGAGATTCCCAGAGACTCCACCCCACCCAGGCCCACCCAAGCTGCTTTCCCATGTGAAAGGTCTTCGCTCAGGCTTCAAGACCCCCTAAATCCTCCTAAACACTCGCAGCTGGCCTCAGTGAGCCCCAGGACTGGAACTAACAGCCTAAACTCACAGCTTGGCTTGGCATGGAAATCTCCAATCCCAGCACAAGTAGCAGCCATCTCAGACTGCTTTACAACTCAGAAAGGGTGGCCCCAGGCAAAACAAAGGACGGGGCTGATCTTGGTCTGTACCACCGAGGAAACCCCAGTGGTCAGCACACCCAGTGGACAGCTACAGACCATGTTGGAACACCACCATCCTGCCCTTGCACAGCTGATCCTCCATGGAGGGTGGAGGTTGGTGGTCAGTGGTCACAGCCAATCCTTGCAGCTAATTGGCTTGGGTAAATCCCTCCTATGATCTGCCAGCAGCAACCAAAGGTCACCTACAAGAGGATGGTGTACTCAGCCCACACAAAGGGCACACTTAGAGTACCCAACCTGAGTAATAGGGGAGGCTGTGCCACTGGACCTTACAAGACACCTACATTAGGCCACACTACCAAGACAGGGAGTCAAAGCAGCTCTACCTAATACATAAACAAACACAGGGAGGCTGCCAAGATGAGGAGACAAACAAATATGGCTCAAATGAAAGAACAGATCAAAACTCCAGAAAAAGAACTAAGCAAAATGGAGATATGCAATATATCAGATGCAGAATTCAGAACACTGGTTATAAGGATGCTCAAGAAACTTAGTAAAGACCTCAACAGCATAAAAAAGATCCAGTTGGACAAGAAGGATACACTATTGAAATACAGAACAATTTACAGGAAAACAACAGTAGAGTAGATAAAGCCAAGAATCAAATCAATGATTTGGAACATAAGGATGACTAAAACAACCAATCAGGAACAACAAGAAGAAAAAAGAATCCAAAAAAATAAGGATAATATAAGCAGCCTCTGGGACAACTTCAAGAGTTCCAACAGTTGCATCACTGGTTGCCAGAAGGAGAAGAGAAAGAGCAAGAAACTGGACATCTATTTCAAAAAATAATTAAAAGAAAACTTTCCTAATCTGGTGAAGGAAATAGGCACGCAAATCCAGGAAGCACAGAGAGTCCCAAACAAGCTGGACTCAAAGAAGCCCACCCCAAGACACATCATAATTAATATGCCAAAGGTTAAAGATAAATAGATGTGAGGGTGGGTGTGGGAGAATGCGTGAGAGGTGAGGGGATTACAAAGTACAAATAGGTAGTTACAGAATAGCTATGGGAATGTAAAGTACAGTGTAGGAAAGGAGCAGCCAAAGAACTTACATGCATAACCCATGGACATGAACAAGGGTAAGGGGATTGCCTGAGGGAGTGGGGGGGGCTGGGTGGAAGAGGGAGAAGGGGGGAAAAATCAGGACAACTGTAATAGCATAATCAATAAAATATAATTACAAAATATTGTAATGACAAAAATTAAAAAACAGACACACAGATCAATGGAACAGAATCGAGTCCAGAAATAAACCCATGCTTATATGGTCAATTAATCTACAACAAAAAAGGCAAGAATACACAATGGGGAAAAGACAATCTCTTTAATAAATGTTGGGAAACAGATACATGCAAAAAAATGAAACTAGACCACTTTCTCATACTATATACAAAAATAAACTCAAAAAGGGTAAAAGACTTAAATGTAATACCTGAAACCATTAAACTCCTAGAAGAAAACATGCAGTAAACTCTTTGACATTGGTCTTAGCAATGTTTTTTGGATATGCTTCCTTGAGCAAAGACAACAAAAACAAACATAAATAAATGGGACTACGTAAACTTAAAAGGGTTTATTTAACCCAGTGAAAGAAACTATCCACAAGATGAAGAGGCAACCTAGTGAATGGGAGAAGAAATGTGTAAATGATATATCTGATAAGAAGATAATACCCAAAATATACAAATAACTCATTATAACTCAACATTAAGAAAACAATCCAATTAAAAAATGGTCAGAGAACCCGAACAGACATTTCTCCAAAGACATACAGATGTTCAACATCACTAATCATCAGGAAAATGCAAATCAAAACCACAATGAAATATCACCTCACACCTGTCAGAATGCCTATTATTTAAAAAACAAACAAACATAGAACAAGGGTGGAGAAAAAGAAACCCTCGCACACTGCTGGTGAGACTGTAAACTAGTGCAGCCACTGTGGAAAACAGCGTGGCAGTTCCTCAAAAAATTAAAAGCGGAACTACTACAAGACCCAGCAATTCCACTCCTAGGTATTTATACAAAGAAAACGGATTATTTGAAATAATATATGCACTCTTATGTTCACTGAAACACTGCTTACAATAACTAAGATATGGAAGCAACCTAGGTGTCTTTTGAAAGATAAACAGATAAAGATGTAATACATATACATGTACAATGGGATATTAGCCATAAATTGGAATAAAATCTTGCCATTTGTGACATGAATGGTCCTAGAGTATTACGTTAAGTGAAATAAATTAGACAGAGGAAGACAAGCACTATATAACTTGACCTATTTCTGGAATCTTAAAAAAGGAGGCAAAAAAAGAAAAGGAAATAAAAACAAATTCATAGAGAGAACTAATGGTTGCCAAAGCAGAGGTGTGGGGGGATGGGCAAAAAAGAGGAAGGGGATTAGGAAGTACAAACTTCCAGTTATAAAATAAGTCACAGGGATGAAAGGTACAGTATAGGGAATAGTCAATAATATTGGGAGTATTATGTACGGTAACAGATGGTTACTAGACTTACTGTGATCACTTTGTAAGAGATATAAATGTTGAATCACTATGCTGTATACCTGAAACTAATATAATATATATTGTGTCAACTATAATTTTAAACAACTAGCCACAATTTAGAAACATTAAAGTAAAGTCGTATTTAGATTTTACTATCCACTGATTCTGTCTTAGAAAATCAAGGTGCAAACGAACGGTTCTCAAGTTTTCGGTCTCAGAATCCCTTCACAGTGTTAAAATTACTGAGATTTACAAGAACTTTTGTTTTATAAGGTTTTATCTATCGATATATAACAAATCCATTATGTTAACACAGACAACTCATTTACTTAAAATAATCATATTTTCTAAAACAAAAAATATAGTGAGAAAAAATGGCAATGTTTTACACTTCTGTAATTTAAATAATCTGGTTTAATAAAAGGAAGCTGGGTTGTCATATCTGTTTCGATATTCATCTGCTGTTATGGCTTTTACGCTGAAGTACATGACGGAAACAAGCCCAGCCTTCCTCAGACACGCAGCTAGAAAAGAGAGCGCGCTGCAGATTCTCTGAGGGGGCCTCTGAGACCCTTTGCAGGGGTCCTCGGACCACACTTTGTACTGCTCGTGTAGAGGGGATGGATTGTTTCTCAAGTTTCTAAGAAGACTAAAGTTTTTTATTTTTTCCTGTTAAGGCAAAAAGGAAAAAAAGTCCAGAAACATTTCATTGAGGAACAGTAAAGAATACGTTACCATACTAAGTTAGCTGAGAAAGTAAAAATCTAATTGGTATTTAATTTCTCTTATTATTTAACGCTGGAAATCTATGTGGCTAGGTAAACAGGTCATAATATATTTTGTAGTAAATCATAGCAAAATAGTTTTATCATACTGCTAAACCCTGCAGTGTTGTGGTTCTGTTTTGTTTTTGCAGGACACCAAGTTTTTCCTTTTCTTCCTTTCTCTTTCACCATCCAGTTGCTATCGGTCCCTCCTTCTTCCCTTTGGACTTTTTCTCTCCCAGAAGATGTGTTTAGAAGACTGTCTGTCCCTTTAAATCAGTTTGCTCTTTAAATAAGTCTGTCTCTAGAAACCATGCACTTGGCATCTGTATTGTGTCTGTTTAAACTGAGTGCCTGAAAAGGACACCACTCTCTTTAAAATCAATACCAGTATCTTTCCTTTAAGAACACGCACTTACTTTGAAATCTGTTCCCTGCAGTTTGCATTCTAATCTCCTTTTTCTGTTTTAAGTGATTTCAGACTTTGAGTGAATTTAATCTTTCTGATTATCATTCCAACTCACCCACAGGCCCCTCCACTAGTGTTCTGTCTTCCTCTGATTTTTTTCTCAGTCTGCTTTATGTGCCTCAAAGTGCCTGGCAGAATAGGGGTAGGACAGGTGCGTGGGAGGGGGCTGGTGTTTGTTTTCTTCCTTTCACTCACAGTTATATTTCAGTTGGAGCATTCTGTCTTTGAGTAATATTGAAGGAGTAGCTTTCACAGAATTTTTCCTAGATGTGAAGATATTTCATGTCATGTGGGAAGATTCTGAGGAAGTTGTTTATTACACAGTGTCCTTGGTCTGCAGCTCCCCAGAAGTCCTAACACTATATTCTTAATTTTAAAAGGTAAGTTACCAAATTTTTAAAACTCAGATTTTATGACTCGTCTTTTACCTAAATGTTTCTTCTTGGAGCTGTTCTAATTGAGTTTGGAGTTGCAGATGCCTTCTTCCTGCTGGACTGTTAGGATCTTCTATGGAATCAGACTGATTAAGTCTTTCCATTAATACCTGATTCTCTGCCAACAGACTACTTTTCTCCTCTTGCAATGCTGCAACCTGTTAGAATATAGGAAGACATCAGTTATTTCCCCCCATTACACTGGCACTGGAATAATCACCTATGAATCACCATTATAAATTAATGCAAATTTTTTTAAAGTACACTCAACCTTCACTTAAAACTTTTACATTATTTTGAAATATTGCATAGGCAAAGTAATATGTAAGCAAGAATTCATTATTTGAGATCTGATAAGACAATTAAAGAGGTATAGATGGTAACTAAGCTCACAAAAAGATATTCATGATTAGTTGTTAGGAAATGCAAATTAAAAACACAATGTTAGACCAATACACTCTGACTACAATAGCTAAAATTAGAAAGCCTAGCTGTACCAAGTGTACAAATGAAAGCCTCATACAGTTCTAGTAAGAATATAAAATGTTTTAAGTGCTTTGGAAAAGAGTTTTGCATTTTCCTAAAAAAGTAAACATGCACCTATCACATGACCCAGACATCCTACTCCTAGGTATTTACTTAGGTATTTTAAGAGAAATAAAACTGTATGTCCACCCAAAGACTTATAAAAAATGTTTATAGCAACTTCATATGTAATGAAGAAAAACTAGAAACAAAAATGTTCATCAACAAGTGAACGGATGAATAAACTGTAGAACATCGATACAACAGAATATTATTTCACAATAAAAATGGAATTAACTATTGATACTGACAACATGAGTGAATCTCAAAATAACGAATGAAGTCAGACAAAAAAAATAACAGTATATACTCTATGATTCCGTTTATATATAATTCTAGGAGATACAAGCTAATTTATAGTAGCTGAAAGCAGAGCTGGGAACTCGCGGGGGGTGATGGGTTCATTATATTGATTGTGGTGATTTCACATGCTCATACATGTCAACACGCATCAAAACTGTACATTTTAAATATGAGTAGTTTATTATCTGTCAATCATACCTCAATACAGTGTAAAACCAAAGTTGCCTGCCATTTCTAATTCTCCCTCTCCATCTCCCATTTCCTTCTGAACTCATTCTAGTTGGACTTTTGGCTCTAGCATTCCACTAAAACTGCTCATCAGGATCACTACTGACTTCTGGGTTGCTACGATCCATCAGGAACATTGGACACAACTGATCATATCCTCTTCTTTGAAGTATTTTCTTCACTTGGCTTCCAGGATACCTTACTCTCCTGGTTTCTGTACCAATTCACTGGCTTTACCTTCTTTTTCTCCTTGGTCAATTCCTCTTACTCTCCCTTCCATTACACCACCCCACAGCTTTTCTCAATACAGTGACAGCTTCCAGTTTCATGGCTGTAAACACCATCTATTCACTGACAACATGCATTTCTATTTCTATCCTGGAACCCTGAACTGGAGGTCATTTCTACTTGGATGTCTAATAGGCATCTCAAATTTAAATCATCTAAACTAAACTCTTAATTATTCCCATTCCCCACCCTCTTTCCCCATCTCAGTAAATGGTAACCCTATCCTTCCAGTTGCTCAATCATAAGCCTTAACATCTTTCGATCACACCATGTCCAGTCTGTCAGCAAATACCACTGGCTCTACCTTCAAACATATTTTGACCACTTCTCGCCAGTTCTAAATTCTGATGGCCTAAGCCAACATACTTTTTTGCCCGGATTGCCGCAATGACCACTTAGTCTCCTTGATTTGGCCCTCTCTTCCCTACAGTCTATTCTCCACAAAGCAAAGCAAACATACTCCATTAAAATAATGATCACAGGACTGCTTTGTTCAAAACCCTCCAATAACTTCTCATTTACTCAAAGTCTTTACAAAAGTTTATAAGGCCTCTCCAGACTGATTTCCTCTGTCCATACTCCCTTCCACTCCTGCATCCTCCATTTCCTGCTATTTCTGAATACACCAGCCACTCTCTCACCTCAGGACCTGTACTCCGTAGGTAATACTCTTCCTGGGAGGCTTGCTGCTAAAACCTCTAGGATTTTACTAACATGTCACCTTCTCTGGGGCACTTGTATTGGCTAAATTCAAAACTACTAATTCTTCCTATCCTGGGCTCCCTGTTCTCTGCTTTATTTTTCTCTAGAATATTTATCACCATTTAAGACTATATTCTTTTTTTGTTTATTGTCTGTCTTTCCTTGCTAGAATGTAAACACCTTGGGGGTGAGAATACTTTATCCATTTGTCTACCTCCCCCTCCATCTTCACTATATATTTACAGCAACTAGAACAGTGGATGGTACACAGTAGGTGTTCCGTAAATGACTATTGAATAAATGAATGAGTGTGAAACGCTAGCTCTATAATCATCAGATTTCCATAAATGCATGAGTGTCTTCTAAGAATAGAGCTATGGCTCTATGCTATGCCACTGGTCTATTTCATTCATTTCTGCACTTTCATTCTTCTTTTTTAAATAAATATTTAAGGCTTAAAAACTTAAATTTTGAAAACTCATTTCTTTGCTACTGATTTCTGACTTTAATTGCATCTTGGTCACAGAGCATGATCCAAAGACACAGACTGCTTGAAATTTTATTAAGAATTGCTTTATAACCTGCAGTCTATTTATAAGAAGGCTAGGTATACAATGCAATACAATGTTTATTGCTAAAATATTTTAATTCAGTGTATTTGACAGAAGTCTTTTTCGCAAACACAGAAAAAGGAGACTAATTTAAAGCAATACATAAACATGACTTAAGAAAAAAAATCAAACAAGACAAAGGGACTTATAGTGAAAAGCTACCGTTTCCTGCTGGTATTTTCCTTCACTGGTTACTTCTGCGATTTTAAGCAACTATTCACTGACTCATTTCACTCAGTTACCCACCATTCACTAACTCACTCAAATATCCATTGTGTGCCTACTACATGCTAGGTGCTGTTGCAGTTCTCTAGGTACAAGGCATACCATGGTGAATAAAGCACAGAAAGTTCTTATTCCACAGAATAGTTATATATTCAAGACAAATCAGAGTAAATATATAAACAAAAACACATTAAGTAAGCTAATAAATACATGCTAAAACTACAGTGAAAAGTATATGCAGAGAGTTAAAATACGAGTAACATGAGAGAGTCTGGATGATTACTTCAGATTGGCTGACCATGGAAGGACTTTTCAAGGAGGCCTAATTTAGTTCTTGGCAAATCCGACAGCCCAATGAATGATTTATGACAAATAAATCAGGTGGTTTTGAGTGAGGCTGGATGACAAGAAGGAGGCAGCCATGTAGTGAGTGTGGCAAGTATTCAACTCTGTCATTGTAGCATGAAAGCGACCACAGACAACGTATCCGTGAAGGAGGGTGGCTGTTCTACCACAGAACCTGGCTTATAAAAACAGATGGCCTGCTGCAGTGTGCCGGTCCTGCTGTGCAACTTTAATTTTATACTATCACTGACAGTATTTATATTCTGCTTATAAAATTAATTAGCTCAATTTTTATTATAACTCTTAGCATTTAGTATAGTTAAACTCTAAAATCTGAAAAGCATTTACATCATGGCTTACATCATTAATCTTTACTACAGAACCCAAGTGTACATGGATTATACTACTTCCTATATACATCCAAAGCAAGGACCAACTCCTATGCCTTTCAAAGTAAAATACTTCTAGTATAAAATATTATGAACTCTGTGTACCCACAACCCAGCTTTAACAAGTATCAAAACATGGTCACTTATGTCTAATCTAGACTTGGACACACTCTTCCCACCTCCCTGATTTTGGGGTAATCCCAAGCAAATAATTTTATTTCTTATTTTCTTTATTTGTGAGGGATTCCTTCAACTTTAACTACTCTATTGAATTTTTATTTTGACAATTCTATTTTAAACTTATTTAAGTGTTTCTTGATCTCTAATTTTTCTTTTCTAAAATTGTATTTATTTTACAGATGAAGTATCATTAATTTTACTGACAGTATTAAATAGATTAAAAGGGAAAAGCCACTTCAAATTTCTCCACTTCCTCTAAGGACAGTTTCCTGTCTATCTTGATCCTTTTATCTTTTGTTATGCAGATTTCCCTCACATTTAAGAGCTGGTCAAAGCAAGGGTAACTGGAAGCTATATGCAATCACAGGCTTCAGCTTAGGGCTTTATCTACAATAACCTGGCCTTTATGTAAATGAGAGAACCCAGAAAAAAACAAAATGAAAAGGAACTTGCACGGCAATATTAATACTCAGTCTAAACTCCCTACAGTTAATGTCTTTAGAAAGGACTCCTCTGACTGGGAAGCTGGCTCTAGGTCATTCTAGGCAGCGGATGACAGGGTTGATGGGGTGCAGCTATTCTTTAGAAAACCTGTAGCTGTATCCTTACTCAGCCCTGGGTTCTGTGACAGCAGCTCCCTGCCTTTCTACCCCAGGGGTGTTCTTGGCCACTACATACTTTATTCCTTCTAGCCATTTGGGACTTTCCCAACTGTCTTCTGGCTTTCAGAGATTGATGAAGACTGGTGGTGTGCTGTTGCTAGCTATAACCAAGCTGATTGTTAAACATTCAGGCAAGGAAATTATTTATTTGCTCAGTCTATTATCTTTAACCAGAAACCTGTTTTCCTTTTTTTATTTTCTTTAATTGGGGTTGCACTGTAGACAAACTGTATTATGTGGCAGTACACAGACTGTTTTGTGGTATTTACAGCAGTCCACTTCAAACAGATGGGACGTAGAACAGACTTCTTACCTGCATATCCAATTCGTGGCATCTTTGAGCAATTTCTTCCTTGGCTGACAAAGCTTCATTTAGTTCCTCTGTAGTTTTCTTCAACTAGTCAGAGACCAAGAGATAAAATAACTATTTCAATATGAAGTGGCAACAATTAATAATTATATATGGAATTAAACATTATCCCCCTTCTCTCCATGAGGGACAGGGAGAAATCAAGAATGCTTCTGTGCAAGAGTCAAAAGAAGGCACTTCTTACTTTGAATATCTTTGAGTTCTAAATCTTGTCTTTTCTGTACCTTGAATTTGGTTCTTTCCTCATATCAAATTTTCTTACACATCTTCTATCTGGGCTACTTGGTTCTTGGTAATGTTGATTGTAGTAACTAAGAAATTTTACCTCAGTAAAATATATGTATGCTAGAGGACAAGGGTTTCAATTGCTAAAATATATGGCTAGTGTATTTCAATACAAATTTTTTAGTCACATTAGACCTCTATGTTAATTTCTATATCAGTTTTAAAATAAACTACTTTGATTATTATACTCAATACAAACCAAACATTCCCAAGTTGTGTCGCATTATTATATAAAGTCTAAGTCAGCAAAGTATAAACAAATTAATTAATTACAATGAACTAATCAATCACTTAATTTTAAAAAGACAAAAATGGATTAAAGTAAAATGATACTGGCTTTTCATTTCATGTGGCCAAACCTCTGTGTAACATAGATACAAAAAAATTTCATTCAGAGTAACTAACTTTAAAACCCAACACACCACAAAGCAAGGGAGAGACATATTACAACTTGGGTTGAAATTTTAGCATGTCCAAGGATTTCCCTGCATATTTATAAATCACGGTGAAGCAATGAAAGGAGACAAAGATCACAAAGATTTCTGTTCATGCTTTGTAACAGATGTCCCAGAATAGCTGGAACATAGAAATTAACAATGTACCTTTCCATTATAACCATGAAAACACATTGCAGAGTTTCTTTAAAAATGTAGAACTAAGTCTCTTAGTGCCTTTAAGTATGAAGGGCAGAGGATACATCTTCAACTGAAGAATAATATGAAATAAAAGGTAAATTATCTTTTTTTTTAAATCCTCACCTGAGTACATTTTTTTTTCATTGCTTTTAAAGAAAGACGAAGCGGGGAGGAGAGAAAGAAACATCAGTCAGTTGTCTCCCACACGTACCCCAACTGGGATCGAACCTGCAACCTGGGTATGTGTCTTGACAGGGAATCAAACCCATGACCCTTTGGTCTGTTGGACAATGCTCCAACCCACTGAGTCACCTGGCCAGGGCAAGGTAAACTATATTTTTATCATCAATAAAGCATAAGATTATTTATGCTAATGAAAAATGCATGCGATTTTCCACAAAAGCATCTATTGCGTTAAATGTGGCATACAGAAAGAAACACAAATTACAAAAAATTAAATGAGTTAATTTATTTTAAAGTACGTTATGGAGCAATACTTTATTTACAAATTACAAATTTATTTACAAGTGTGTAATATCCATAAGTAAAGTGGCTTAAGTTCTTAGCCTTTATGGTAAAAAAATAAAGAATTATACCAATATAGTCCACAAGCAATTTCCAATGAAACATATTTTTCATTATATTAAACTTTGTCCTTTTCAATCCTTGCATGGATAAAAACAATGCAAAATTAGGTACCTGGCGATCAAGGTCAGCATAGGCATCATTTCCAGCAGAGACAGGAGATTCTTTACTCATCAGCTGAAATTGAGATTTACAAGATTATAACTATGAGGCAAAAAAGGCATTCTATGTAATATACTTACACAACAAACATGAACACCCAGCCACTACAAAATTATAAAAATTAAAATGAAAACAGAAAGGTAGAAGAAATACTTTCTTATACACTAAAGCTTTTCAGTCAGGAACTTTGTTTTTTCACTCCAAGATGATCCCTTCATTTAAAATTACAGGTCTAAATTCTGATGCTCATTTTTCTGCAGGTCCAGTCACAACAGTAAAGTACTGTTTACTCTTACCACTAAGAAAGGTAAGGCTTTAAGTTAAAAATGCGGCTAATATTGAAAGCATGGACTTTTCAGTAAAAAAATGATGGCATTAAAGAATAAATGTGGGCAACATCACAATATCCAAACAGTGGGGAAAACCCAAATATCTATCAACTGAATGAATGGATAAACAAAATGTGATACATATACTCGTATTCATACCATGGAATATTATTCGGCCATAAAAAAGAAGAAAGTATTGATACATGCTACAACACAACCTGGAAAACATTATGCTAAATAAAAAAGCCAGGCACAAAGGAGCACATATCCAATGACTCCATTTAAATGAAATATCCAGAACGGGGAAATCCACAGACAGAAAGCAGATTACTGGTGGCCAGGGGCTGGAGGGAAGAGGAAATGAAGATGGCCTGTTAATGGTCACAGGGCTTCCTTCTGCAGTGATGAAAAGGTTCTGAAACTAAGTAATAGTTAATGTCTGCATAATATTATGAAATGAACTATATGTCACTAATGGCAAATTTCATGTTATATGTATTTTATTACAATAAAAAATAAACACATAAATAGAATGTGCCTTAAATAAAAAGTCTACCATCTTAAAAAAGCTCCTCTTCAATCCCATAATTTTATCCAGCTACCCACTGTCCACCTCCTAAGTCAAATCAGTCACCCTGCCAATTGATCGAAGCTCTGCTAATTTTCAGATCTGTCCACTTCTCTCTACCCTAACTCCACCCTAACTGCTATAACCTAGTTTGGAACCCATCCTTTTTTTATTTTTATTTTTTAAGATTTTATTTAGTTACTTTTTAGAGAGGGGGAGGGACAGAGGAAGAGAGGTAGAGAAACATCAATGTGTGAGACATACATCAATCAGTTGCCTATTGCACACCTCCCCCTCCCCCCCACTGGAGACCTGGCCCGAAACTCAGGCATGTGCCCTGACTGGGAACTGAACTGAAGCAGTGACTTTTGAGTTCACAGGCTGGCACTCAATCCCACTGAGCCACACAGTCAGGGTGGGGTCCTATCACTTTTCACTGGATAATTACTAAGGTTTCTTAACTGCTCTTCCTTTTTATAGCCTTTTCTCTAATCCATTCTCATTGCATGAATTTTCTCAGACACAGACTTCAGTCTTTTTCTCCTTAAAATACAGTCATTGTTTCCCAAAATTCCAACTCCTCTAACAAAACTGCTCAATATGACCTCATGTCTCTTGTTTCATCTCTTATTTGTACCTTACAACGTTTGATAAAGGCACTCTTCTTTAATACCTCCAACATGCCACATAGGTCTTGCTTTCTCTCATCTCCTGGACTTTGGAACAATTTTTGCTCCTTCCTTATTTCATCCTCTATGCTTAGTCTAGATGCCACTTTCTCTGAAAAGCCTTCCCTAATATCCCAAGCCTGAGTTAGACACTCCCCTGAGGTACTGCTATATTTTTTCCCATCATGGCACTTTCTCTGTGAATGCTCTGATTGCATCTGAATTACTTGTTTAGCCATTTCGCCCATGAGACTCACACTCCATGAGTCAAAACACCATGTCTATCTTTTTCATAGTTGTACGTGTACTACCTATCAGAGCTCCTGGTATACATTAGGTGCTCAATGAGTATTTGCTAAATAAACAAAAGGACTATGCACATAGTAAACACATAATCTAGTCATAAAATCTAATTGTACATACAAATTTTATATGTTGTTTTGTTAATTTGACATTTTAAATGTTTTCCCTTTGTCATAAACCCACCCTCCTTTTTTTTTTTTTTTTTTACAAATTTTTATCAGCTACATAATATTCCATGGAGTGGAAGTACCATATTTTAAATATCTGCTTACCAAAGGATAGATTTTTTTTTTTACATTTCCATTAATATAGAATAGTTTGATAAACACTGTTGTGCCCAATCTTAGTCTTTTGTCTCTAAGTAATTCCTTGGGATAGAGTTACAAAATTGAAAAAAGTTAAAACTTGGTCACAGATTTTAAAAATATTACTGATTATAGATATAATATGTTACTGAAAAATTGGAAAATACAGGAAAGAGTACAGAACATTACCATTTGGTGATGGTTAACACTTTGGCAAATTTGTTTTCACTGTGCATCTTAATTTTAATTTTTAACAGACATGGCATTATGTTGCTCACGTGCTCTGTTTCCCTAAATATTATAGGCCTTCCTCTATGTCATTATATATTTTTCAAAAATATGTTGTAGCCCTGGCCAGGTAGCTCAGTTGGTTAGAGCATCGACCCGATATGCCAAGATTGTAGGCTCAATTCTCAGTCGGGGCACATTCAAAAGCAAGCTATGAATGCATAAATAAGTGAAACAAAAAAAATTGATGTCTACATAATATGTTAATACATTATTGTACCATAATCTATCCATTCCCCTATTGCTGGGCAGTTAGGTTTATTCTAATTTTTCAGAACTAGAAAATAAGGCTAAAAAATCTTGAGGCAATACAATAAAGTGTTTATGGGTATGAGCTCTGGACTCAGACTGCTTAGATCTGAGTTCTAACTCTGCTACTACTTGTGTGAACTTGAGCAAGTTACACACATTGTCTATACCTCAGTTTCCTCTTTTATAAAATGAGGACATTAATAGTACATACCTCAAAGAACTGCAGTTAATTTTTTTCTTTTTTTACTGTGGTAAAATATATACAATATAAAATTTGCAATTTTAATAATTTCAAGTGTACATTTCAGTTACATTAAAATAATACATTTTAAATGAGTTAATAAATGTTATGTGCTTAGTTAAGTACCAGCACTCTCTAGCACATTGTGAGTGCTAGATAAATATTTGCTATTAGTATTGCATTATTATTATGAATCTTTGTATTTCAGATTTCCTTAGGATAAATTCCTAAAAGTGAAATTACAGGACCCATTACAGTAAGGCAGAACTGTCAGTGGCCCCTTATTCGTTTTCCAGTTTTGGCTTACTAACAGAAACCGCACATTTAGGCTGGGCCTATGACCACCTGAATAGGCTACATTTCCCAGTTACCCTGTGTGGCTATGTGAGTTGTATCTGTCTAATAGGAATGAGATTTACTGAAATTTACTTAGAAGAAGAGGATAATCCTTCCTTCCTTCATCCTTCCTGCAGGCTGGAAATGTTAATGGTAGCTCCAAGTTGAGAAACCACAGTTCCACTACTACGTGGGACTCACATATTAAGGATGGCAAAAGTTCCATGGACAAGTGTGCTGATTGCCGGGGGGAGGAAGGAGACAGGAGGTGGGGGAGGGTGTTGGGGATAAACGGAGCCTTGACTTGGGGTGGTGAACACACAATACCGTGTACAGATGATGCGTTGGAGAATTGTGCACCTGAAACCCAGGTAATTTTGTGAACCAGTGTCACCCCCAATAAAAATCAATAAAAAAGAAAAAAAATCTTTCAAAAAAAAAAAAAAGAGAGCAACAATTAACTACCAGAAAGCTGGATTTCTGGTGACTAGAGAGCCAACCCAGGACCTCTTAAGAGTAAATTGCACTTATACCTTGCTTGGTTGATCACCATTTTAGTATGTTAACACTCATGACCTGTATCTTCTATAAGAGTATAACATTTTTAAAAAGATGCACTGGTGCTAAACATCAAAATGATTTTTTAAAAGCTCTTTTTTTTAAAAGGTCCTGGGTAATAAAAACTTGGTTGGCCTTAGTCCACAGTTATAAGTAGATAGCCTCTAAATCTCTATAATTCTCTCACTGATAAAGAGTCTCTTTGTTATTTATAAAGGGGCCCTAGGTAGTATAGAGCTAAGGAGAGGACTTCAGAAAAACCAACTGTGTATTAAAGGACTAGGGCTTTGATCCATTTGATAACAGCCTGACATCTGGGGAGGAAGGGGAGCTGGAAGCTGAGTTTAACTTCATGACCAATCAATCATGCCTACACTGATACCCCAATAAAAGATCTGGGCGTTAAAACTCAGGAGATCTTTCCTTGTTGATGGTACTCTGCATATGGTCACACATTAATGCGACTGTGCAGGAATGGTGACATGTCTTGATTCTGTGCGCAAGGGACAGCAGAAAGTTCGCATTTGGGACCCTCACTCTATGCACTGGGGGTGGGTGGGGCTAGTTCCGACTTCTATCTTTTTGCTATAATGAAACTATCATCACACCTGAGTTCTTAATCATTGTAATGAGTTCTCAAACCTGAGGGGTAGTGGGACTTTCCCAATTTATTGTCAGTTGGTCAGTATTTTAAAAAACATTTAACTTGCACTTACCAGTTTTCATTTGTCTGTTATGTTTTTTATGTTAATTGCATGTCCTCTACTGTTTCCTAGTTTCTGTAAGAATTTCTTCCATTGCTTTTATGATTAAAAACATTCTCAAATCCTGAGATCAACCAGTTATTCATCTACATTTTATTTTTACTTTTATAGTTTTGTTTTACATTTGCTGAAGTTCAGGACACGCTATCCCAAAATACTGCACCTTGGAATATGAATTATTTCAAGCAGAAGAAATGTGACAAACAGCAGGTGCAGGAAGGATTTTTCTGACCGTCCCGGAAGCAGGTCACGAGACCCTCATGAGAGAGGTGCCCTTTCTGTACTCAGAGAAAAGCAGCACCCTTATCTCCAAAAACAAGAGATGCCAAAAGGAATCTGAGTGAAATAGGACTTGCTCTTTCCTCTAGTTGACTATACTTAGCTCAAGCCCTTCTTCAGTATTACATTTTCCATGATCTCCACTCTTTATCAAACCTAGCATCAAAACATTCAGGTTTAAATACTTCCTTAGTCTTAATTTCCTTATAAACACTTCTGTGTCATTTAAAATTTGTATTAAATAGATTTGTAATGTTTTTCTCTGGTTAACAAATCTTTTGTTATAGAGGCCCCAGCAAAGAACTTGGAAGAGTAAAAGAAAAAGATATTTTTCCTCCTCTATAGTTTCAATATAAATATTCATTTAGAAATTTCTTTGCCCTGGCTGTTGTGGCTCAGTTGGTTGGAGCATCATCCTGTAAACCGAAAGGTCACAGGTTTGATTCCCAGTCAGGGCACATACCTAGGTTTTGGGTTCAGGCCCTGGTTAGGGCATGTCCAAGAGGTAACATATTGATGTTTCTCTCCCCTTCTCTCTCTCCTTTTCTTCCCCTTGCTCTAAAAAATCAGTAAGAATATCCTGGAGTGAGAATTAAAAAATAAATAAATAAATTGCTTTGGGTCCAGCTGGAGTTGAAGACCCATTTTCTACCAAGACAAGCTGTATCATCAGTTTGAAGAAAATTTTCTCCTAAATTAGAAGAATCTCTTTTTAAAAATTTCCCCTTCTATTTATTTATTTAATTTTTTATAAAGGACTTATAGGGTAGTCTGTTTCTTTATTTTTTTTTAAAGATTTTATTCATTTATTTTAAGAGAAAGGGGAAGGGAGGGAGAAAGGGAGAGAAACATCAATGTGTGGCTGCCTCTTGCACGCCCCCAACTGGGGATCTGGCCTGACCCCCAGGCCTGTGCCCTGACAGGATCAAACTGACGACACTTCAGTTCGTAGGTTGGTACTCAATCCACTGAGCCACACCAGCCACAGATCTACTACTTAAAATCACGTTTGCTCCTTTAATTTCTCACAAACTGTAAGCACAAAGCTCCAACGTACCTCTTGAATAGCTGTCATGACAACATGTTGAACAGATTCTTCCATCATCATAATGGCTTGGATGTACTCTGAAACAAGAACAATCTGGAATGTCACTGTTCAAGTTAAAGATAGTCAAAGGAGTAAAGGTTTACACTTCATGAATTCTTGTAAGTGGTTTCCAGTGTTTTGATTCTTCCTAGGCATTGCTCATATATGACTGAACACATGTGCCATAGGTAAAGGCTGCAAATCACAGTATTTATCTTTCCTCAGTATTTCACCCAAACCCATCCCCAACCGTTCCTTATAAAGTGGCTACAGCTAATGGTCACAGGAACGCAGGAGCTTAGGAATGTAAAACAATGAAATGGTAAAGCCTAAAGCCAGGGTGGATAAAACTATATATCATTATTCTTAAAATATAAAAATTATCTTACTTTCACATTATTCTTTGCTACACATTAAATAAGCTTTGAAGTCTGTGCTTTATTCTTATGTGACATAAAAGCATCGAATTCTGATAATTTCAACATTAATATTTTCTTCTATAGGAGAAGAAAAATCTTAATGGACCTGAGAGCTGCTTATGAGAAAGAATTAGGATGAGTTTACGATAGAAACTGATACCATAGTTAAACAAACATTGGATGACCCTGGGCTTTAAAATAATGATTCACACCTCTAATAAGTTCATGCACCTAATTTATCAGCCTTACCCTCATGACTGCTAAAAAGGAGAAGGCTCTCCTAGTTGTCTGCAGTGATAAAGTTGAAAAAGAATTTCTTGCCCTCTAAGAAAGCTCTGGAAGTAGTTTATATTATTTTCAAATCCAACAATGGATGACAAAGGTGACATTAAACATAAAAAAATCAACAGGTCAGGTGGATTCCAACAAATATGGTAAATATGTTTTAATGAGAAACCGTTAAAAAGGTAAAATAATTAGGAACTTTTAGCCTCAACCTGCCATACATCCAAAAACAAACACCAAAAACTTGTCTCAGCACTCCAAGTAATATTATATGAAGGGTTCTTACTGTGAAATTGTTTAAGTGACCTTTTGGCAAGAGATTCACATCTTTGGAATGTCAAACTGTAATCCTTTGCTTGACAGGTAACTTGTTTAAAAAAAGTATTTTGACAGTACTATTAAATTATGACATTCTGACATTCTGTTTCTGAATGCCAAAGCTATTAGTTAATCAAAACATGTTTTTAAAGAAGTATTGTCCTAAGGACACTTAATACCCAATCCAATATGTGGTTAAACAAGTATACACAATGCACTTAAATCACTGACATTATTGTTCTTAGGCCAAAAGTAGAAATAGTATTGTAACCACTATTTAGGGGGCGGAAACCCCCCAAAACAGTCCTTTTGTCTAAGTTCAATCTTTTTGTGTTGTTAATGAGGAGCACCCTATGAACGCTGAAATGCGAGGGAGTGCTTTCAGATATTCTGTTCAAAGCTACAAAACACAGAATCCCAAGGCTACTGGAGAAAACGGTACAGCTAGAATCACTAAACCACCCTCAAAATAAAAGGCTGTGAACATGGAAGAGAAGCAGCAGTGGCATTTGTAATGAGGAAGGAAAACTTAATGACAGCCTACTGGAAGTGAAGAAAATAACTGTGAGAACAGGGAGGTTAGGAAGTTATTAGTAAGGTGTGAGAGGGGAAGCGTTAGTTAAGAAGCGGTGTTGCCACGTCAAGGCCCTTCCCCGCGAACACCGTAAAATGCTAGATGATAAATGATGATGATAACTACATTAATGTACAATTTTTAAGAAATAAAAAAAAATTTACAAATCTTAGAAGTCCAAATACAAGTATGTATGATTACTGGGTGTAGATCTATGCGACAATGCTGAAGAATGAGGTATGTTGTGTCAGGGAGTTCAGCCTGAAAACTTAGGTCCAAAACTTACAGCACAGTTCAGTATAAAGAGTATTAAGATTGAATGGGGAAGAGTTGTAGGTTTTCGTCCTTGCCTAGCCTCTCACAAGTCAAAAATCTTGGGTAAGTCTTAGTTTCCAATCTGTAAAAAGTGCTTTTTGTTCTGTTAGCATTTACTAAAGTACCAAGCAAAAAGGAGGCACTCAGTAAATACTTTTATTAGTGTGTTTTCTACTATGGATCTTTGCTTCTCCCAATTTCCACCATTTGTTTGCTCCAGTTTGGGAAGTTCACAAATAATTCAGAAATGTATTTAATTTAATTCTTAGCTCTCAACTGTGTTGCAGAGAGCAGAGAATGGCCTGTGGATAAGTGAGATGTTAAGATCCTATCCAAAGTTTTCATCATTTATATATAATTTCAGGGAAAAAAACTGAAAGTAGGTTTTAAACAGAACATTTGATCTGTTTAAGAAGCTCAATAAATATTGCAATTGTCTTCCTTTCCATAGAACTATGGATACAGGTAACATCCTCGTCTTTTCCTACTCTCACCCTCTTATAAATGTGACTGATTAGCTAACTCATAACAGCTTACACACTTTCAAGGACTCTTATGCACTAAGGATAATCCCAAGAGTTGATGACCATTCTTACAAAATAAATACATAAGTAGCTATTATCTGCCCTGACTGGTGTAGCGCAGTGGATTGAGAGGTGGCCTGTAAACCAAAGGGTCACTGGTTTGATTCCCAGTGAAGACACATGCCTGGGTTGTGGGCCGTGTTCCCAGCTGGGGGTGTGAGAGAGGCAACCGAGGTCTCTCTCGCACATCAATGTTTCTCTCCCTCTCTTTCTCCCTCCCTTCCCCTCTCTCTAAAAATAAATAAATAAAATCTTAAGAAAAAAAGCTATTATCTGAATTCAATGAACTAGATTAAATAACATCTCATCCACCTTTTAAAATCAAAGCATCTATTTAGATATTTAATGTTTTGAATTTTCTTATTTATAGCAATCTTCTAATCTTTGGCAAAACTTGTTAGACATTTCAGTAATATACAAAAATCAAAATGTAGAAAATTCTCTATTTTAATTCTTAAGTTAAACTAAATAAACAAGGTAAAATTTCCTGTAAGAGCAGAGCATGCTAAAGTATAAAAGAAATGGTACTACAGAGAAATAAACACAGTTAGAAAAAAATTCCTGAATCAGAACCACTAAAACTAGTCATAGGTTTAAAAAAAGTGTTGACTATTATTAAAACTTAGAAATAGAACACCAAAAAAAAAAACCAAAAAAAAACCCCAAACCCACAGACAGTAAGTTAATAAAAATCTGTTTTGTATTACCAAAGGGATATGACAGAGAAGAAAAACACCTTTAGGCTTAAAAAAAAAAATCCATCTTCTTCAAAGGTCATGTACATAGAAATAAAATACTGTCATCATTTAGAATAGTCCCTATCTACCTTTGTCCTGCTTCATCTCCCTTTATCCTCACTATTCCCTAATTATTGTTGTTTTTTCAGTCCCTCAAAGGTAACCTAGGTCTTTCTGATGTTCAATTTCTAATACTCAGATTACTCTTAACCCATACTCTCCGTATCTTTGCTTAAATAACTTCCCTGACCCAAGCCTAAACTGTCCCCCATTACACTTTACCTTCACAGCGCTCACGACGACTCAGAGTACCTACTTCTGCGGGGCACTGGGTATTGCCCTCCACCTCCACTCAAGTACAAGTTCCAGGAGGGCAGGTACCATGCCTGCCTTGCCTGACACTGTTCCTCACCCCAGCATAATGCATGAGTTCAGCAAATATTTGTGAAATAAATCCTTCATGCTCGCAATCTAAAATATCTAGTTTTAAGTCCCAAGAGCTGATCCAGTATATCATTATCAATTAATTAATTTAGCTGGACCTTACCCAATTAAGAATAAATTTCATTATATCTGGTGTAGTTAAAAATAATCTACTTAAAGAATTATGTAGTCTTGCAGAAATGGAAAGACTATCATCACAAGTCAAATTTATCTTAACTTGTAAAAACTCTTTTAAGCTTGAAATCCACAAAATCAGAGAAAATGCCATTCTTGAGAATAGCCTTTAAAAGATGCTACTGTTTGTACTGGTGATTCATAAGTAAAATATACTATACATCACTTTTTAATATACTATTGAATATATTAAATATAATTTTATAAATACACATATATTACATATTATTACATATATTTTTATATTGTATATGTGTTACAATATATATTACTTTTCTTATTATTTTTACTTTTTTTATTGATTTTTAGAGAGAGAGGAAGGAAGGGAGGAAGGAAGAGTCATTGATTTGTTGTTCCACTTATGCATTCATTGGTTGATTCTTGTATGTGCCCTGACTGGGGACTGAACCTGCAACCTTGGCATGTTGGGACAATGCTCTGACCAACTGAGCCACCTGGCCACAGCTCTTCTTATTATTTTAAGTGCATACACTAACTTCAAATAAATTACCTTGCTTCTGTTCACAGTTCACAGCACAGCCTAAAATGAGCTGAAGCATCCTTCCGAGCTCTGCAGCATCAGCATGCTCCCCAATAAGGTTCACATCAGGAAGGGTAAAGTCATTAATTTGCTGTCCTAAAATCTGAATGGAGATAAAAGGATTAGAATTGCATTTACATGCACTTGTTTATGTGAACAAATAAAGTATTTGACAGAGACTAGATTGTCAGCAACAGAAACTCACTGCTAAGGACAGAGCTGTCATGCCAATCTCACTCCCAACTTCTATTTCTGCTCCTCATAAACCTAAGTTATAACGATCCTGATCCAAGTTCGGCCCTAATCTAGTATGTGGGATGCACACAAGAAACTGAGTACTGCTGACCCCTCCACCATCCCCAGAGAAACTGGATGTGTACTCTCTGAGTGGAGCCAGTGAGGTTCTAAACTAGAGGGCACCAGAAAGGGCGGAGATGAAATACAGGTTCATGTCCCCAATGGTAAGATTCCTCCTAGCCATCTTCCCTCTGTCTGACTCCAGAATGCTGATAGCAAAACATCTGTATCAGGAAAGAGAATGGAAGATTACTTTACAGGGAAATTAAGTGGCCCCAAATGGAATGACTTAGGATGCAGACAAACGGGTGGGTCTCTGACTGATGGCCGTCCAGGGGGAAATGAAGATCCTGAAAGCACGGAAGCAGGATGGGTGTCTGCAGTGTCTGGGTTAGGGGAAAGCAGTGTAAGAGGAAGTTAGAGGGGTCGTGCAAGTACCTGGGTGCTGACGGTAAGATGTAAGGATTTGATTCTCAATGCAATTGGAAATCATGGAAGACTTTGAGGAGAGACTGACATAATCAAATTTATATTTTTAAAAATCATCCTGGTTTTGTAGTGGAGAACAGACTGTACAGGGGCAAGAGTAAAATCAGGGTCATCGGTTAGACCACTCTAGTTATCTAAGCGAGTGCTAATAATGATGGCTTGGTGCAGGGCAGTGGCAACAGAGAAGGAGAAAGCTATCATTTGGAGGTTTAACTAATAGGTCTTGCTGATGATAGCAGAAGAAGGAAAGGACTACAGGGCAATTTGTAGGTTTGGGGCTTGAGACGTAGGGTGAATGGTAGGGTCACATACTGAGATGATGAAGGTCGATGACATAAGTATCGACGTAGGTATAAATTCAAGTTAAGCTCCTGGGAAAAAAACCTGTAAGGGAATCACATAGATTTCTAGGTTCTGTTGTGTCCACTAGAAATTTAAAGTAAAACTAGTTCCACAGCCTGATTTTTCCTCCAGCAATGTCTTGATTGTTCTGATGCAGACTCAGAGGAAAGCTGAGTTAATTAAATGATGGAGGTTTGCTAAGAAATAAAATGGAAGTAGGTAAGGGAGTTGATTATAATAACACATGGACTCTATATTCACAAGTAAAGAAAGAAAGGAAAGAATTAACAGATACAGAAAGTAAAGTTTAGCATAAATTAGTATTTATCTACAAACTATCCATATTATAGTCAAAGCTATTATCATCTAGTAACCATCTAATAGACAGTTGTTTAAACCAATAACCTATACAATGGAAGATAAACTGATTATTAATTTTTAGGTTAATCTTCTTACTTGAAACTATTGTAAAATATTATAAGATTAAACTATCCTATAGTAGGATAGTAGGATATAATAGGATATCCAAGCAGAATGAGAAAAAAAGTCTTTACCTCATGATTATAATCCAGGATTCCTTTTAAAATTTTCTTTAGATTGCTTATCTGTTTGAAGAGAGAGAAAACAACTGGGTAAAAGGCAAATACAGATCAAAATATAGTTCAACAAAAACTTTCTAAATCAATGAATCAAATTAGTTAATCATAAAGTAAAAATAGAAAATAAAATTCAACAGATGTTTGAATTACCATCATCATCAAAAAAGGACCTTTATGGCCTAATTTATTTCATCTAAGATATTTATGTAACAAGTTAACCTTCCAGTAATGTTAAATTTTTAATGTCATGACCACTGACAAAATGTGGAGGGTAACTAAATAAGGCTTAACAGTAAGATTATTCAGATTTTCTGCATCTACAGAAAAAAATGCTTAATGAAGACTTGAGTTCAGTGCTGTTTTCCCCAAGGAAGTGGAGCTGCATCTTATAGAGAGGTTAAGTTCTAAAGCTAAAAGCATTAAGCAAAAATTAGAGTAAAAATTATCCTTGCAAGTCTCTTAAAGTAACTTACAACACATGTCTCCAAATTCCTCCACTGTCAGAAAAGATTGCTCTTTCTTCAGCTGAGCACCAAAGTAAATATTTAAGAGCCATAATATTAAAAAAAAAACAAAACCCCAAACTATCATATCATGAAATGCTAGTGTAACAGTCTGCATAGCAACATACTTGTACTCCAAGAAGCTACCTAGAAACAGACAGCTGGAGGGACCAACATACTGATGTCTCCCAATACTCACTCACCCCAGAGAATGGGTTCACTGGCAGTATGGTATCCATGTAAATGACAGGCAGAATCACTGGCACTATTTATTATAAGCTATTATTTTTTTAAGACCCAATTCATATGGTTGCATTTGTGTGAAGTTAAATGTGCACAGAATATGATTCTGTTGATTATCTACCTAGCTGTTCCTAGTCAGTTAGTAGTTGAAGAGGTCCTAGGACAGAAGTCAGTAGAATCTGTGGCCATCAAATAAAAGAGGCTGAATCACAGCAGTGCAATCCAAGGTTAATCAAAGACATATTTATTTTTAAGAAAAAAAATAAACTGAAAAGTTGATTTTAAAAAAAGTCATAACTAATGTTACACTTGTAGAAAAACCTGGAGATATGGAAAAAATATATAATATACTTTATTTCCTTTATTCTAGTAGGTTCATTTGTTCACATTTGAACATTTTAAATTAGAATGCCTTAAAATTCAAAGTGTTCTTCTAAAATGGTAATTTTCCAGTATTTTCTTATGATTAATAACACTAGCAACTAATATGACATATGCCATAAACTATCTTAGGTACTTTACATACATTAACTAACTTATTTCTATGAGGTGAGTCCTATTACAGTTCCTGTTTTACATACAGGGAAACTGAGGCACAGAAAGGTAAAAAGACTTCCCCACATATAGTAAATGGCAAAGTTGTGATAGGGACACAGGCACTTGCTCTAGAATCCATGTCCTCAGTCACTGTGATTTACCAACGTGCACTATATCTTGGTGAGCAGTTACACATCACCTCCAGTCTTCAATTCTAGATGACTTCGCTATGGAGTGCCTAAGCTTCTAAAGCTCATTGGACACATCTGATGAAAAATCAACAAATATCACACACACACAAGTAAAAGATTAATTTACAGATAGAAAAATAAAAAGATAATACCTTTAGCCTCCAATTATCTCCCACTTCCGTTTTGATCCTGTTTAACCAATTTTCATCAAAATATGCAGGATCTCTACAAATAAGAAAAAGCTAGCATATTAAGATCATGTAGCTATTAAGCTAAAAAAAAAAAAAGAAGAAGAAAGAAAACCAAGAAAATTGAAAGCTATCCCACATCAACACTTAACTGAAACATAAAAATGAATTTGCCAAATTATCAGCCACTGAATAACTGAGTACATGAGACCAGATATCATTACAGATTATTCTAAAATCAATTTGTTATCAGCTCATTAAAATACATACACGTTTTATCAGAAAACAAAAGATGAAAAATAATAACATATTTTAAAAACTAATTACAGAGAGACACACTAACTTGGAATTAACATACCAACTTATAGATACCATACTAATATCTGGAAATTTTAAATAGACAAAAGAAATATATTATGAAGTAAACTTTTCAATTAATATTTCAAGGACATCCATCATTTAATACTTCAAATGTCACCAATACTGTTTCTTAAGTGTCAATTTTTAAAAATATATACTGAGAACCTATTTTCTCAAATATAATACTGGACATTAGACAAAGTTGGACACAGTTTCTGTATGCAAAAGGCTTAAAATCTAACATAACATTGGTGCGGACAAACTGAAACAAGGATAGAGCCTGAATATACTTATGGTTATTTTTCTTAGGAAAATCTCCTAAAAATCTATAAACACTAGAAAGGAAAAAAAAAGGGAAAAACAACAACAACAACTTTTTAGCCCAGCATGATCCTCATTTCAAAGGTTCTGAAATTAATGCTCTAAGAAATTATTTGTTCAACACCACAGAATGTCTATGTTCTCACTCACTGTTGCCCAATACTCATGTCTGACACAGAGCAGGTTCTCTATAAATATTTGTAGACTGAGATACATTTGGAATAAATGAAATGCATGTTTATTTAAAAAGCTTCCAATCTACTACTTGGGCAGAATATAGCAGGAATAGCCATGTACAACCTTCTTATATTTGGTGTGACTTTTCCTAGTAATAAACGTTCACTCACTAAGCAGAAATCTAGCCATAACTCTGTTTGGATAAGTAGTTACAATTTCAGCAATGTTTTCTAAGTTTCTTAATTGATGCTTTCAGGCTAGGATAAAACATAAAAGTAATTTTCTCCAAAATCTCAGTAGATTGTAGTTCTGTACAGATATGGAAATGACAACTGATAATCTTACTGGGAGTGTTTTTCATGAGTAAGAAACTAAAGATAGCCTACTATGTCCCAACTCTTGTGAAAGAAGGAAGGGAGGGAGGGAGGAAGGGATGGAGGGTTACAAAGTCATTTCCTTAGATTTTTCCAGTAACATCATATTTGGCTGTAACTTATGTACCAGTCATACCTTAAGCTAAAGGATAAATCCATTCATTTTAATCCTTAATATAATTTCAGAAATATAATGTCTGCCTACAGTCAACTGCCTTCAAAGAAAACAAAAACGAGATAAATTTTATTTCTACTGCTAAAACTATTTAAGCTCTGTAATGTTCTTATTGGACTCACCCAAATTTAGATTGGGTCCAAAACACTGTATTTGGATTCCATTCCTTAATATGGCATTTCTACTAGCAAACCTTAGTATTTTAATAGATATTTTGCTTCTTAGGCCTATTTTCTAATAATCTTTTAATTACATAAAAAAATATTTTGGTCTCCTGCTATTAAATATTTACTGGAAAGTTAGCTATACCCAAGGGAAATGGAAACATATGTCTACACAAAGATTCATACACTGATGTTCATAGCAGCTTTATTTGTAATAGGCCAAAATGAAAATTACCCAGATGTTCATCAGCAGATGAATACATGAGTAGGTTATGCAATAGGCATACAATGTAGTATGCACAAACTGTGAATACAGGCAGAAACAGGAACATATCCCAAAATAACTGTGCTGCATGGAAGAAGCTACATCCCTTCCCTCAAAAAAAAAAAAAAAAGAATCGCCCTGGCTGGTGTGGCTCAGTGGATTGAGCGCTGGCCTGCGAACCGAAAGGTCACGAATTTGATTCCCAATCAAGGCACATGCCCTGGTTGCAAGGTTAGGTCCCCAGCTGGGGGCATGGGAGAGGCAACCAGTCAATGTTTCTCTCACACATAGATGTTTCTCACCCTCTCTTTCTCTTTCCCTTCCCCGCTCTCTAAAAATAAATAAATAAAATCTAAAATAATATATATACTGTCCATTGATATGTATTTCTAGAAAATGCAAATGAATCTATAGTGACAGAAAGCAAATCAGTGGTTGCCTGGAGATGGGAAAGGGGCGGGAGGAAGGAGGGAGTGAAAAGACTCTTTGAAGTGACCTGTATGCTCATTATCTTGACTGTGGTGAAATGTATCAAATCCTATACTTTAAAAATGTGCAATTTATTGTAGGTCAATTTCATCTCAATAAAGCCATGAAAAAAATAGAGAGTGGGAAGTGCTAAAGAAATGAGCTATTAAGCCACAAAAACACAGGGAAGAGCCTTAAATGTAATGTTGCCAAGTAAAAAATATGCTGACAAAAAATTCTCAATGTCCTAAATTAAATTACAGCAGGCCAGAGGGTAGAAGGGAAAGAAAAAAGCGGTTCATCAGTTAACAAATGCAGTGCAAAATCAAGAAAAGACTGCTCACACTTAGTGTATGTTGGAATTATTAAATTAACTTCTAGGAGGCTATTTCTTTTTTTTTTTTTTTAAGTTTAATCTTTCTTGTATTCTTTTTTCCCGTGACCATTTAGTCGCCTTACATCCCCTTCTCCCCAGCAACCACCACCAGGTGGCTATTTCTAAAAAGGGAGACTAGCCAAATGCTGTTGAACTCCAGGAACCTCAACTTCTTGTTTTACACATGAGCTTTATGGACTCTGCTGAACTGGCCCTGCTTCAGCTTCTCCCATTCCCCTTGTCTACAGCTAATGTAAATTCTTTCAGAAGAGCTTACATCTTTCTCCCCCACTAGATGTATAAAAATGCTCGCAAAACTCTGGGTTGAGGGATATGCTGTCTTTTCCATCTCGCCATGCCACTGGTGGTTTAGACACCATGCCCCAAGACTGGCCTTCCTTTTTGCTGGCAATGGCCTAATAAACCCTTTCTTTTAAAAAGATATCATCTCACACCTGTCAGAATGGCTATTATCAGTAAATCAACAAAAAACAAGTGCTGGCGAGGATGTAGAGAAAGGGGAACCTTTGCGCATTGTTGGCGGGAATGCAGATTGGTGCAGCCACTGTGGAAAGTAGTATGGAGTTACCTCAAAAAATTAAAAATGGAACTGCCATATGACCCAGTGATTCCAATTCTGGGAATTTATCCAAAGAGACCCAAAACAGTAATTGAAAAGAATATATGCACTCCTATGTTCATTGCAGCATTATTTACAATAGCCATGATTCAGAAGCAGCCCAAGTGTCCATCAGTAGATGAATGGATAAAACAGCTATGGGACATTTACACAATGGACTACTACTTGGCCATAAAAGCAAGAAAATTTTACCATTTGTGACAGCATGGATGGACCTGCAGAACATTATGCTCAGTGAAATAAGCGAGGCAGAGAACAAGTACTGTATGTTATCACTCATGTGGAATTGGATGAACAAATGAACCAATAAGCACAACAGAGACAGAATCAGATAGGGAGCAGGCTGACAGCACCCCCCCTGCGGGGGTGGGGGGTAGGCAGTGCGATGAAGGGATCAAGCCAAAAAGAAAAAAGAACTCACAGACGCTGACAATAATGTGGTAACTGTGGGGGCGGGGTGGTGGTGGAGGCGGAAGAGGGTACAGGGGGGATAAAAATAGTGAAGAAAAAAATACAATACAAACACATAAATAATAAAATAAAGACTTTCAGCTGTGGAAGTTAAAATGTTTAACACAAGCCAACCTGAAAAAGGCTATATATACTGTATGAGTCAAACTACAAAGCCTTCTGGAAAAGGCAAAGCCATGGAGACAGTAAAATGGTCAGTGATGTAGTGATTGGCAAGGAGTTGGGGACGGAGCGATGACTAGATGGAACGAAGGCGATTTTTGGCAAAGTAAACTAATCTGTAATGCACTATAATGAATGCATGTCATTATATGTTTGCCAAAACCCACAAAATGTAAAACACAGAATGAACTCTAAATTAGGGACTTCTGTGATATGATGTGTCATGTGAGTTCATCAGTTGTAACACAGGTATCACTCAGTTGGGGATGCTCATAGTGGGGCGCGCTGATAGGGGGGCGCGCTGATAGTGGGACATGCTCTGTGTGTGGTGCGGCAGGAGGTATGTCGAAACTTGTTAAAATTTTCGCTCAATTTTAAAAAATTTTTTTTACTGTAGTAAAATTTATCATTTAAACCACTTTTAAGTTCAGAGGCATTAAGTACATTCACATGGCTGTGCAACCATCACCACCATCTACCTCCAGAACCTTCTCATCCAAACTCTTCCACTGAATTTTGCTGTCAAACTAAAACTGCTCTAAAAAAACCAAAGCCTATTAAATGAAAAAGAAAAAGAGTCTGCATATATGCAGAGCGACAAGACAGCAACAACAGAATTTGGGAAGCTGGAAAGCAGATGAACAGAAAATGACTTTAAAAACTAGAGAAAAAAATAAGTTATACTAACAATAACCTTACTTAGATCCATTCATATTTGATAAAATTTCTACTAAAATTACAAAAATACATAGTTTTTCACTTATCAACTGGAAAAATGAAAAGATTTGTTATTTCCAGTAAAACTCTCTTCTCGGCACCCTACTTTACTGACTGACTTTCCTCATACCTCCCTGGTCCTTCTGCGAGATGCTGTTTTAACCAACAATCAAATGTTAAAGGTCTTCAAGGCTCAGGCTACGCATTTTTTCTTCGTACCCTATACTCTTCCTTGAGTGACTTAATCCACACTCACGGCTTCAATGAAAAAATACGCAAATTGATTATCTCAAGTTTTGGACGGCTCTTCTGGATTCTAGGCCCGTAAAGTCAACTGCTAACTTTGCATTTTCCTTTAACGTCTCAAAACCACTAATTGTCAATGTTCCCCAAACTAAACTCATGATACATGCAGCACTGTCCCTATCAGATCCCCTTTCAGCGTCCGCACATCGGTGGTTTGCACCCCTTCTGTGTATTTGCTTAAGCTGGAAACTTAAAAGTCAATTTTGACTTTTTACTACCTTTTACTAACTACCCCATATCAATCATTAAAATTTCACGTTTGAGTCCATCCACTTATCTTGATCTCCTTTGCCACCTCCTAGTCCAAGGTACCATCATTTCCTTTCCGAGTTATTACAAATTTCTTTCTAATCGATCATCTGTCATTATTATGGTCTTTTCCAATGTATTTTATACCTGTAGCCAGACCAGAATATTTTCAAAATATAAATCTGAATGTTAACCCCTCCCCTAAAATAAAAAACCCTCAATTGCTTCTCTTGGCCCTTGGAATAAAGACACAAGTCCTACCTGGTCTGGCTCTACCTGCCTTTCGATCCTCATTGTGCCCCATACTGCGGCTCTCTGCTCTAGCCATTCGGACCCTCTTTCTTTCTATGGTAGTGTTCACCATATACCATCCACGTTTAGGGCCTCTACCGATGCTCTCCCCTTTGCTATGAAACCTATTTCCAAGCATCTTCAGATTCGTCTTTATTTACTCAGGTAAAATGTTCATGACTTCCTTGCCTAAGTTAAATATGCCTCTTAACTTTCATAACACTATTATTTCTCCTCTGCAGAACCTGTTGTAGTAGCAATTTTGTTTTCATGGTTATTTAACATCTGTTTTTTTCCAGGTTATAAACTCCCTGAAGGCCTCTAGAGTTGTTGCTTATCCTTACCTCACCAGAGCTTGACCCAAGCAGCCATTCAATAAACATCAAACTGACAAAAGAGGAACTGAACTTCCGGTCAAGTTGAATATATTACACAATTACTTAAAATAGATGATATGCAACAGTATGAGTGAATCTCACAGACATTATATTGAGTGAATGAATTCAGAAGTAAAAGGGTATACACTGTATGATTCAATTTGTAAGATATTCAAGAACAGGAAAAACTAATGATGTAGAAATCACGATCATCTTTGGGGCAAGGGACTTTGATTAGGGAGGGGTGTGAAGTGAATCTCGGTGCTAGAAATGTTACATATTTCAATCTGGGTGGTGGTTACATGGATGCATATATACATATACATACAACGTATGCAGATATATAAACACATAGTCATCACTTTTTAAGTATGCTTTTCTATATGTATTATATTTCTATATGTACTAAAAAAGAAAATAAATAAAAATTTAAAAATATTTAAAAAAACAAAAAAGGGAAAAAGGAAGGCATTTTTTGGGAAAAAGTTAAAAATCTAGGTATTGATGAGAAATATGCCCACAAAACTTTAGTAAATTAAAGTAACCATTTTGTAGTGCATAATGGTTTCTTTTGATTTTCATTTACCATTGATGGTAAATCAATACAGTCTTTCTTCTGGTTTCTGCAAGTGAGAGAAATCCTACCCAAACTAACATAAGCAACAAATTCATTTACTGACACACACCAGGTAGGGTCACTTAGCTATGTCCACACGCCCACAAATAATTTTTATTCCGGACTTCAGTGAAACTCTCTAGACTACTCAAAGGCTAAAAGTTATTAGGGCACCACTCAGCGATGACCATAAAAATCACAAGATGGCTTTTGTCAGGTTTCAAATGAGCCTTCCTGAGCTCTATCAGAAACTCTGTGTGCCTGTATACCTGGGAAGATGTGCCAAGTATGTTACAGAAGAAAGCGATAGCAAGCTATGGTTTTTAAGCATGGGTCCCCAATGCTAAAGGTACACAGATTTTCTGAAATGCAGACATTTGAGCTGCTTCTCAGATGGGCAACTGTATCTGGCTTACTGTAACGTGAGCAACAGCAAGAATTCATTTAATGATCACACTGATTCTCAGTAGAACCTCAGGAAATCTTAGCTAGTCATATGCAAATCTTCTAATACAGTCAGGTTGACCTGAGCTCAGAGTTTCAGAAGAGAAAAGTATCTCCCAAATTGCATCAAACCCAATGAATTCTTAAATTCACAGGTAACCCTATATTTGAAAAAATTCCCAGGTCAAAAAGTTGAAGATAGCCACATAACTATTATGTTTTCAAAGTACTTAGAAGGAAAAACATCAGGTGTATTTTATACACCCCAAATAAATGTTTCACTCTCTTAGTCATTCAGTAAACATGAGCACCCATGATGCATATTAAACCATAAGAAATTGCTGCCGTGATTGGTATAGCTCAGTGGGTTGAGCGTTGTCCCGCAAACCGAAAGGTCGCCAGTTCAATTCCTGGTCAGGGCACATGCCTGGGCTACAGGCCGGGACTCTGGTTACGGGGTGCAAGAGACAACTGATAGATGTTTTTCTCTCACACATCAATGTTTCTCTCCCTCTTTTTCTCTTGCCCTCTCTCTAAAAAAAGAAAATAAATAAATAAAAATTTAAAAATATTAACAAAATAGAAATTGCTAATATTTGACCATTTTTTTATCTACAAAAAAAGGTCATTTTCATATGGTTCAACCAAACACCAGGCATTGCCCTAGGTGCCAAGATACTACAGTAAAAAAAACAAAAATACCACACCCAAAAAAAACCCCCAAAACAACCCTGCCTCTATGTGGAGCTTATAAGTGTATGTGTGTGTGGCAGGGGGGATGTGGGGGGCGGGGCAGCAGCAAATAAACAAGCAAGCAAGAATATGGTATATAAGATAGTGTTAACCAACTTTGCAGAAGAATACAAATGGTTAAAAGAAATACAGAGCACAGGGGGATGGTTGTCAATTATTTTATATGGGTGGTTAGAGAAAAACTCACTGCTACATTCCAGCATTATCACTAGGAGTAAGCCTCCTAGGTTCTTCTGCAATGGCAAAATCTGGATACTAACATGAAAGTTTCTGCCAAGTTTATGCTAAAAAAAATAAGAATAAATAATTCTGCTAAAACCATTGGCGTATTATAACTATTACAGCCCTAGTTAAACTTGCAGCCAGTCAATCTGTACCTAAACAAGTACATGCTATCAAAATTATCACTCCTGCTTACCGTTCTTATATTATGCGCAACATACATCTCATCTAAGCACTTTATTTTTTGCCCATGTTTTAATCTAATCAAATATCCATGTATACGTACATACAAAAAAACAAAGCAATTTATTCTTACATTTTTTGAAGAACCTGGGCCATCACAACCCCATTCGTTAAATCTTCCACGGTCTGGCATGGTGCATCCACATTAAATGTCTGGATCTGAAGGGAAAAAAGATTCCATGGTTAAATACAGATGATTTCTTAGGCTTCTTTTTGTGAGTACCACCTCTTGGGAGTTATAATAAGTTTTAAAAGGCAGAAGAGTTGGACATATTTTTCCTTATGGGAAATTTCCTGCAGGTTATTATAATTTTTTCCCTTTGGCAAAAGAGAAATTGTAAAAGACACCGGGTGACTTTCCAGCATCGATTCTACTCACGGATGATACATCTAAGATACTTATGGTACCTTCATCCCATCTACCAATGACTGATTCAGGGATGCATAGGGCTAAGACAATTTGTGCTGAAGAGATGCAAGAGAATACTTACTTGAACTTCTGGGAAAGGAGAGCCAATCACCTCTTGAAGTGAATAAAATGCTGCCTCAATTGCCACGAGCAGTCACTTGATAACAATGAAGGGAATCCACCTTAAGATGAGGCCAGTGCAGTGGAATGCAGAGAACAGGTAGGCATAGAAAAACTAAGTTCTGGAGGCCAAAACTGAGCCACTAAATTTAAAAACCTTGAAGCTTCCTGTTATGTGAGCTAAATCTCTTGTTTAAGCCTGGCCAGCTTGAGGTTTCTTTTATTTAAAGCCAAAAACATCTATACAAATGTAGAAGTCACACTACAGTTAGGTCAGATTATTTAACTCGCTTTGATTTTAAATGTTTTCTGAATTAGAACTAACTTTGTACTGGTCAATATGATGTGGCCGAAAAACAGAAATTATTTTCATGAGTAAGATAACACAGCTGAGCCAGCAATGATTATGCCCAGCGGTGCAACCAGGACTTAGAAGGAAATAAATCACTGAGGACAGACAGATGCAGGCCATGCTCTCACAGAGTTTACAGGTTAGTAAAATGAAAGAGTATTACAGGAAACGTAAACAGCAAGCACAAAGATTAGAAGTGAGAGTGGAATACAATCCAGGAATGAAAAGCAGCTTGGTGTGGATTGGGGGGTAGGGGGGCAGAAACTGGAGGAAGAGATGTAACATCAAAAAGAGTAAAACAGTGAAAGACAGGCTTAAAGAGAAAGCATTATTGTGTAAAACATCATAAGCGATGTTAGAACTTTATCCTAAGAGCAGGGGAGTGAGCAGGCGAGTGAGGCCATGCAATCTACATTGTACAGGTGTGGGCAAAAGTAGGTTTACAGTTGCGAGTATGCAAAACACAGTTTATTCTTGTACTATTATTTACTAATTATTGTATTATTTTTCCATGTGAACTGCAAACCTACTTTTGCCCACCCCTGTATAAAGACCACACTGATTTTGCTGAGAATCAGTATCATCATTAAATGAATTTTTGCTGTTGCTCACCTTGCAGTGACCTTGGAAATACTGGGGCTAACACTCAGGTGACCATCTGTCTTAACACACATTTTTACTGATTGGATTATACAGCTACAAGATATTTCATGATAGCAGAGCAATAAAATTGAAAGATAACTATACCTAACTCTATTAAGGCATAACATTCTACCTAAAGGGTCATAAGCTCTTTTTTCATTCCAAGAAGCCATTTTAACCCCACCCAATCTCCACATCACCCTTCCCGACAAAAGCATAGAAAGAACAGGAGATCACCTGGAATTAGTATTCCTAGAGCAGTGGTTCTCAACCAGAGGCAATTTTACTCCTTATGAGACATTTTTGGGTGTAACAACTAGATGGGCGCTAATGGTATCAAGTAGATATAAGCCAAGGATGCTACTACTAAATGTCCTATAATGCACAAGGCAGGGCGTACAACAAGGAATTATCTGGCCCAAAATGTCAATAATGCTAAAGTTAACAAACCCTTCAGTAGGGCAGTGGTTTTCAAAGTATGGTGTCCCCAGGCCACAAACAATAGCATCACCTAGGAACTTGTTAGAAATGCAGAATGTCAGGCCCTAGGCCAGACCTACTGAATTACAAACTCTGGACATAGGGCCTAGCATTCAGTATTTTAACGAGTCCTCCAATGATGTTGATCAATACTAAAGCATAAGAGCCCCTTCTTAGTTCTAAATTTAATGCAATCAAAACACAGAGGTAAAACTACTTGACCAAAGTCACCCACAATATAAAATAAAAATCACAATTTCAACTGAGGTGGTCTAATTTCAGAACCTATACTATTAACTACCACGTTATACTGACCCTCTATTAAAAAAATAACTTAAAGCTTTACAAAAAAATATGCACTTTAACTTTTGTATATCTGATTTCCTTATTTGTCCATTAGAGGACAAAAATTGTTAACAGAATGGACTTAGGCAAAGCACAGAGAATGGAAGGGGGAAGATATCATCATTAAAATTATACCCTCCCTAATTTTACACACTAGTGTGCATTTTATAGGCTGCTAAATAAGTAGTATGAAAATTATAAGGATATGTTAACGTGACTGGATTTCCCAGAAGAAATGTATTGAAGCCTATGTCTCGATCATTCTTTTTCCACTCAATTTCTTGCCATAAACTGGTAACCTCCCAGATTTTTTCTGATTTTTCAGTCTCTATAACCTAGAGAAGAGCAATGTTTTCATGTACAATTCAAGAATCAAGAATCAAGAATCAAGAAATCAGGCGGACAGGTGTAATAGGCAGGGCAGATCTTTCTAACAGGTAAGAATCCATTTTTGACTCACAGGGTGGGGAGAGGAGGTAGAGTGGAAATTTTCAAGCACATCCGGCTGAACTTGCTTGAAGCATAAACTTTGATTTGGAATTTAAGCTTGAGATGTTTTCCATTGGTAGGGTGATACTTTTTTTTCTTTTTTGTAGTCCAAAGGACAGTTTATTTAAAACAAAGGTGACAGGTGTCAGAAGAAGGGATACTTGTCTTTCCATAAGTATTCCTCTTTCAACAAAAACTCGAAACATTTAGTTCTTGGGCTAGAAGCTCTCTGATACAAGAGCAATTTATTTAGCATTTAGGGCAAAGAGATGTTTCACAGAAATGAATTCTGCATAGATAACTAACAGTCATTCCTTTAAGTGCTGAGCTTTTATTATTTTTACTATTTCTAGTGGAAGGATTTCTAAAATGTACTATATAGTATATACCTCTTACCTCAAACTAAATGCTATATAGTTAAAGTTTTATTTGAGATTCAGGATCATAATGGAGGCTCTTGAAGTTATCTAAGGCTCTCAGCTTGATGACTGAATTACCCAGACTAAACTTTGATTTCTTGCATCTTCTGACAGCTCTCTGTCTTTTGCTGAATACTGCGGTTACCCTCTAATCTGCTACGTGCAAAAAAAACATGCAGCTGAATTGGCTATAAGTTTATGTAAAATAAACTATTCTAAGTGTGAGACTTATCTTTAGAGAATACTGTATACATTTTCCCCTTCCATTTAATTTTAGAATTCTGTTCAGCATTAATCTGTCCTCCAGACATCAGGGGAGCTATGAGACTGAATGTACATTTTTGGCTACCGCAAATGTTTTCCACATAAACACTTATTTTGCTTTTTATAATGAAAACTAAGAGAACAAACATAGCATTTAAACTCAACTTTGTTTTGAAACTTTTCAATGTATAATGTTTTAAAGTGTTTCCAAATCTTCAAATTGTACATCTTCGTGTGAATTCTGTTCTCCGGTTTTGTCCATGATAATTCATAACCTTATCTTCTCCAGAAATTGTCCTTGATGAGCCTTCCAGTGGCATTTCAAAAAGGCTTTTCTACAATGCCATATTCCTTGACCTCTCTCAACAGCTGACAACCTGGATTACCTGTTTTGACATTTTACCAGATTCTAAATAGATGCTCTGGTATTGTGTACTTCTGTCAGTAGCCCTTCAAAGTTCCCTGTGTTCTTCCTCTATTATTTTTATTTGCGTTTCTCACTCAAATAACTGCACTACTATCTTTTAGCAGATGGCTTTGAAACAGCTTTGTTTCCAGGCCTCCCCTTTCTAGACTTTAAACAATGTAGCCCTACTTCCAATTCAATTAGCTTCCGCATCTTTGCCCTCTTGCTGCTTTTTCTAGCATGGAGGGAGGCTCTACTTTGTACAGACTAAAAAACGCACATCTTAAGATCCCTAATCTTCTGTTTACAACCTCTGCCAAACCTATTCCTTCCACAGTATCAAAGAATGTGGTAATTCTTTCCTTTATCTCTCTTCTCCTAGTCAAACCTTGGCCACATTGTGCAGCTTATCAGTTTTTCTCTCCTCTAAAATACAGCAGTGAAACCCATCTCCCAGTCTGAAGCTGGAACTCATTACAGCTGTTAAGTTGTATGGTAATATTATTGTAAACAATCTGAAATCCCCAGAATGGCATAATATAAAAGTTAATGAATATTATCAAGCTCTGCCATTGTATGTATTGTTTTTGGAAGACATACTTTGATTCATGACAGAAGCCAAATCACGAAAATCTCACACTATTTTCATTATGTTTGTTACAACTAACCTAAGGTGGTAATGCTTCTCTAACCTTTCCACCAAAGTGCCCCCACACAGGACAACGACGTCTATACTCCAGGGATCGGAACTTGTATCAAGGCACTGTTAAAAGAATTTCTTTTGACATTTGTGTTTTACCTTTAACATTAATCCAAATGAAGTAGTCACGTCCATAAATATACTAGCGTTTTGTTCTAGCAATGATATTTAACATTTTTAGAAATGAATAAAAAGAATGCTCCCGAAAGAAGCACTAGGTTTATCCGTGGCCCTGAAGACCTCTACACACACGCGCACACACCAGGAACTGACACCGCAGTGTGAGAAACACACAATCATGGGTTTTTATGTCCAGCTCTTGAAGAGGCTGCTAAAGGCACGAATGCTGGCATCAAAATCGAACACATATTTACTTTAAAACGTCAGGATTTTAATAAGCGTTTAGTAATTTCACATTAGAATCCCACAACGTTGCCTCTGAAATGTCGAGTTCCACTGCTGATCCCAAATACCTTCTAGATTTGTTTTTATCTTTACTACCTTTAATAAGCACCTCCACACCGCTTGCTTTCTAATCGCTCAAAAGCATCTAGCATTTTAAATAGTGTTTCTGGGTGCCTTATTGTTTTTTTCCTACCCTCCCTTAAAAGTACTTCTTTTTCTAGTGGGGCGGCTCAGCCCTCAAGGGGCTGTGCTCTATCATCCGAGAACGACACAACAAAGGCAAGGAGCGTCGTAACCGGGGGTCCCGAGTGCCTCTATCGGCTGCCCCGAAGGCAGAGGGAAGCAACGCTTCGGTGTCCCTGGGAGCGAGAGAGTGAAGCACCAGCGCCTCATCAGTTGCAAACAACCGTAATTACAGTGTCGCTTGCACCCCACCATTAGCCTCAACCGGGCCAACACCTCTCAAGCCCGGCAAGTCTCCCTCAGACCCTGGGCCGAACCTCCCGCGCCCGGCAGCTCCCAGCCGACCCCCGCCCGGCCGCTGGTGTAGACGCGGCCCGCACCGGCGTCCCCCGGCTCCGCCCGCCCCAGGCCCCGGATGTGACGGCAGCGCTGTCCGGGGGCTCGCCCCCAGCGACAAGCACTGGGGGGGTATCCCGGAAAGGCAGTCTGGGGGAGGGGGGTCTTCCCCGGACCCGCCGGTCAACACGTACCCAAGTGAGAAGGCTCTCGCACAGCTCCACCCGTTCCGCCGACTCCACGTTGAACATCTTCCCCTGTTGGGGCTTGGCAGCGCCTCCCCTCCTCGCCAGAAACCGCTGCCGCTCGGGCTGGGACCGCGTCGGAGGGTCCGGGGAGCCGATCTGGCCTCTGGCCCACCTTGTCGTCGGGCCCGAGCCGCCGACTCCGGTCCGGGGCTGGCAGCGGCTCCCGCACCGTCACTCCTGGTGCCCCTCCTTCCTTTCACTCAGGACGCGCGTCCGCTGCGCTCGCCTCCGGCCACGCCCGCAGCCCCACGTCCCCGCCCCTAGCCCTGGCCAGAGCCGCGGCCGATGGGCCACTGCGCGCAGTCGCGCTCCGGCCGGCCCGCCTCCCCGCCGCCGCAGCCGCCGCCGCGCGCTCCCCGTCGCCAGGACCCTGCGTGTCCCGGCGCGCGCGCGCGCCGGGCCCTGGCGGCCACGGCAGGTCCTCCACGCGCGTCCTCACGGAAGCGCAGCTATGCGCGTGCGCCTAGGCTCGCACTCCAAAGTAGAAAGGAGACAGCTAGTGGTTGGCCGGGAGGGGAGACGGGGCAGTCCCCGGAAATAATCTCTACCCTCAATCACCCGGAATTGGCGAGGTATCCTCTGCGGTGGAGAGGTACGCGCCCCTTTCCCACCCCTCGGGGCTGCGGGGCCGCGGCCGGCCACACCCACCGGGTCCGGGTCTGCGGAGTTGCCGGCACGGCCCGGCGCGGGCGGCACTACCCGGGGGTCTTGGCGCACTCGCGGCTCTTCCGGGCTGGAGAGTCGCTCCCTCGGACTCCCAGGCTCCGCCTTCCTTCAGAAATCCCGGGCACAGCTCCACAGACTCACGGTCCTGTCCAAAATCCCCCGGAGACGGTGGAAGGGCCCAAGTGGCGGTCGTCTCAGGGGTTTTAGGTGGGCTTGGCCGGCGGTGACAGTAGCCCGCCGCTAACCTTCTTGGGTCTCGTGGACCCTCGACCCTCTGAAAACTTTGGTTACGTAAAGTGGGGAGAGGGTGTACCCCAGTTCACCTATCCATGAGGACCTGACACTTTCTAGGGCCTGTTTCAGTGTCCTGCTGCTAAGTGCTGGCCTTCATCCTTAAGGGCTAGGTGGATTATCCGCGAGCTCCCACCTTTGTAGAGGTGTGAATCTCTGCAGTATTACCGATAAGTTTTTATGCGATATGACATGCGAAAATTTGCGTGTCATAAACAACGCACATGTTTAAACAGCGTACATGTTTAAAGAATAAGATAAAACACCCAGACAAAAGCAAAGAACATTGATGGCACGGCGGGAGTTTCACCCGCACCTTGTATTTTCTTTTGAGCACGATTTCCTCCCTGGACTGACCAACTTTCTTGCTTTTCCTTATAGATTTTAGCACCTAGGTATGCATGCCTAAACAATATAGTTTTACTTGCCTGTTTTGAACTTTTATGAGTGAGATCATATTCTGTTATTTTGTGGCTTTGAATTAATGGTGAATTTGTGTATACCTATAGGTAATTTTTATTGCTGTCTAGTATCCCATTGTATACTGTTGATGGGCATTTTGTTGTTCCAGTTTGGGGGTACCAAGGACAATGCTGTAAGCGTTTTTAAACCTCGATACTGGTGCAAATGTGTAAGAGTTTTTTAAGAATATGTGCCTTAGAGTTTTAAGAATATGTGCCTAAGACTATGTGTAAGAGTTTTTTAAGAATATGTGCCTTAGAGTTCCAAGAGAGGAGAATTGTTAGTTCATAAGGTATGCATAACTTTTACTTGGTAATGCCAACTTGAGGTGCAGCATATTTAACTTCTCAGGACGCATCTTTATTTTGGTTTGCAATTCCTGGAGCCCCGCTTATTTTAATTAAAAGTAGGTTTTGTTAGTGAGCATTTAGAACAATCAGGATGGTACTGACTTTTTAATGATGCCTAACAGCGTTACCAGTTCCTATGATGATTTCTCATTTTGTGAATGTAAAAAAATCTTACTTGAAGTCTTCTCAATGGTTCTTTTAAGTCTTCTTCCATACATTAAGAGTAGAGAAACCTTTAGAAATGATAAATACATATCTCACCTGCCTTTGTTTCCTTTGGTGCCTTGTGGATCTTTGTCAAACCAGAGTTTCTGCATTCCGTGGCAGGTTGTTTCTGTAGGAGGTAGAATCCCTTGCACTTTTAAGTGAGCTATTACCCTTGTTAGGCATGCAAGGTCAGTGGGTGAGCCTGACTGCCCTGTAACTTGTTGTTGGATGTGGAGGAGAACAAGATGTTAGCCAGCCTTTTCTGGAAGGACTGTGGTGTAGTCAGCCCCTGAACTCCAGCTGCTCAAGTTTTCAAGGCTTTGACGCAATTGACTTTTAATCCTCCTTTCTCATGCCAGGCTGCTCATCCCAATGCATTTGTGCATGACATTGCAGTGTTCTTGAGGTTTCATTGTGTAGCTCCAGTTATCTTCCATGAAGGAAATTATTTTAAAAGCTTTCTGGACATGAGTAATTGTTGCAGAAGCCATGTGGCCATCACGTTCCTACATGAGCTTGGGTACAAAGACAATGAGTTTGTCCTTTGACGTTATGGAATTTACTATATATGCCTTATTTTCATGTGTGTGTGTTTCCTGAAAACTTTGGAAAAGACCAAAGAGAGGTGAGTGGAACTTAGCTGTCTCCTCACTCTAGTTAATTGGAGGCCAGTTCTCATCTATAGCCATCTATCAAATTCAAGCAAATGTGGTGGTGCCCTGCATGACACAGTTCCCAAGTTTATCGTGTCTTCCCAGATAATACATACTTAGAGCTTCGCTTAAAGACAGTTTGAGATGCTACATAGTGCAGCTATGGGGAGAATATGCTTAAGTTTCATCATGGTTCTGATGATTCCTTGATAATTGTTAAGAACTAATCAAAATATTATAGCTTCCATTTACTGAGAGCCTACATGATATGCCAAACAATTATGCTAAATGTTTTTTCTTCATTATTCTCTGAACTCCATAAAACAAGGCTATTTTTTGGCCTAAAAGCTACAGTTTGATATGGTTCAAATATTACATATTTTACTTATAAAGAAGCTGAGACCCATACTTTACATAACTACGCAGTTGTCTGACTCCAAAGCTTATGCTTCTTCGATATATTAGGATAGTCCTAGCGAGGACTTAGACAGCTAAGCAATAACAAAGCCAAAGCTAGAATGCAGCTCTGCTTCTATCAATTCTATTAATTATTCATCAATTATCCATCCAGTTTCGAATATGTGCAGTGTTTTGTTTCTTTAAATCTCAGTTAAAAAAAGTATTAGTAACACATTTTCATATTTGACAAGATCAGATGAAATAGATACTATATTTTATAAATTTAATAACCTTGTTTCTGGGTTTGAAGTAAGCTGCATTTATGGGTCCCTACAACATGTAATATTCTCTGTGCACTGCTCAAGGAAATAAGGTATAGTCAATGCCTCCCAGTGCTCTTTATATAGCATCATGAAGATGATGCTGTACAAGTGGTAGGTAAGAGTGAGACTGGGACAGATTTTTTTTTTAAGATTTTATTTATATTTAGAGAGAGAGGAGAAGAGGGAGAAAGAAGTATCATTGTGCGGTTGACTTTCTCTCACACCCGCTACCGGGGACCTGGCCTGCAATCCAGGCATGTGCCCTGGCTGGTAATCGACCTGGCAACCCTTTAGTTTGCAGGCCGGCACTCAATCCACTGAGCCACACCAGCCAGGGCTGGAGACAGGATTTTAAATCTGAGTATTGAAGCCTAATTTTTATCTTTCAAGGGAGGAAGCAGGCACTGGCTTTTCTTTTTATTGTTAAAGTAGTATGTACTTGAATTCAAACTATAAAACTGACCTGGGAAAGGTGATGATCTGGCTTTTCCAGGTGTGCTCCTGATCTGTAGCCACTTGAACCCTTGGTATTTATATTTCCTGATTTCTTTTTCTATTCCAAAAAACTCTGTATCAGATCAATGTAGTGATGGAAGTAACTGGAACCATTAAAGCCACCACCAAGTAGGCCAGTCATCATTAGTAGTTCTCCATGTGAAGTCCCTAGGTTTAACTAGCATTTCCACATGGCAGGAAAATGCAAACTGACCTCTCTGTTCCTCTCAGCAGTCTCCCCTCCTACCCTTTCTCAGCCCAAGCACCTTCTTTGGGAACTTCTGCTATAAAATAGCAAATAATATTATATGGCTTTGCAATAGTTAACATATCATGGATCTGTGAGCTCTTGAAGTATTTCATGAAGCAATATCTTAAGGGTGTAGTTACATAGAAGTAAAATGAATATATATAGTATTAGTACAGTAAAATTTAGTCACATTATCACTGATTTTACCTGGAAGGACATAGAAACAAACGTAGTTTGTTTTGGGGTTTTTTTTTTTTTTTTTACATTTTGGCAGCCAAAGGAAGGCAAAGGAAATTACTCATCACCTTCTTCCCTGAAAACCTGAGCCATACCAGATATAATCCTTTTTTTTTTTTAAAGCACAAAGTAGTAAACTTCCTAAAATGTATAGTATAAGAGAAAATCCTCACAACTCTGTGAAATAATTAGATTCAGTAATTAGAGGCTGGGAATCTCAACACAAGGAATAACATTTTAGATATCTTTGAGCAGATGCAAGTGGTTCTTACTGCCATTAGGACTTTTGACACAGTTATAGCATCTGTAATTTAAAAAGAGGAAACCTGATAAAATAAAAATCTAAGTTGACCTCATGGCCCACCCCCAGATCATATGAGACTCTTCAGTTTCAGTTGGCAGTTCATTTGACTGTTCTTTTGAATAAAAATGCTGAAGTTAAGGCTCTTTGCTCTGTTTCCTGGTGTGAGCTTTCATTATGGATATTTGAAACCTGTCATTAGAAAGTTCTTCATATATCAGGCCATTACTATGTGTGAAGCTGATGAAAGGCTCCTTTGATCTGTTTGTTTGCTTTAGAAAATTAAAAGGTAATTTTCTCACAAGCAGCCAGTTCAGATTCTTCTTAAGGTCTTAGACTTTCACACTCAAAGATTCCTCTTAACAGACACTCTCCTGATTAATGATATTGTAAGTTATATAAATACAGAATTTTAATTATGAATAGCCATATATATTTAATTGAATATTTGTTTCCTTTATTTCCATTTAGGTGTCTTATAAGTCTCTGAACTTTACTATTTTGCCATCTGAAAAACATCTGAATTACCTGTGGTATTTGGACTCCAATGTGGTTGGGCTATCTCCTCTCATACTTATAGAATTGGGTGTTAACATTTCTCTTTTGTTTCTTCTATGGGAAGGAGAGTTTTATATCCTCCCTTTTCTCTTCATAAGGAAATGCAGCCTGAGAGTGATTCCCTATTCCAGACAGTTCAAAGAATTCTGAACCATAAGCTGAGGTTAGTCCCAGGTGAGGCTAATAGTTTTTGAAGCACCTGAATTTTCATTAATTCAAGTAGTCTTAGATTGGATATAAATGTCCAGTAGCCTCATTGTCTTTTATTTTTCTAATGCTTTTCCAATTACTAACACTATAAGTAAGGTAAGTCACTCTTATTTAAACATATATTATTAGGTCCTACTTTGTACAGGGCACTAACTAGGTAATATAGGAATATGTACAGAAAAAAACAGTATTTCCTTCCTTATCCATACGTGATAAGTTCTGTGATGTACATTTATTGCTTTGAGGGAGAAAAGAGATCTGATCTATTTGGAAAACATATGTGGTATTCAAGACTAAGAAGAGAGCAGTTGGGCGTGAGTAATGTCTTTTTTTTTCTTAAATTAAAAGAGCTGCCCTGGCTGGTGTGGCTCAGTGGATTGAGTGCCAGCCTGTGAACCAAAGGGTCACCCAGTGGATTCCCTGTCAGGGCACATGCCTGGGTTGCAGGCCAGGGGTGTATGAGAGGCAACCTATTGATGTTTCTCTCGCTCATCAATGCTTCTCTCTCTCTCCTTTTCCCTCCCTTCTCTCTCTGAAAATAAATAAATAAAATCTTCAAAAAATAAGTCAAAAAAGGGAGCTAAGCTTGAAGGAAAAAGGGTAAAAAATGTAAATGGATGCTACATTATAGTAATTGTCTTTCTTAAAGGACATAGAATCATGGGCTCTCCAAAATAATGTCTGGCAAATTTTAAAGAACTCATTAATGGGGCAGACGACACTGGAATTGTGCTTAATTTTTTTCTAGTTCCTGCTTTAAGTGGGTCATAAATGTATTAGAAGTCAATTATATTTTCATTAATGTATTTTCTTTACAATGTGTCATTTGTAACTTTCATCTTGTTTCTTTACTTTTTAGACCTGGAATGGCCAAATATCAGGGTGAAGTTCAAAGTTTGAAACTGGATGATGATTCAGTTATAGAAGGAGTAAGTGACCAAGTACTTGTGGCAGTTGTGGTCAGTTTCGCTTTGATTGCTACCCTGGTATATGCACTTTTCAGGTGAGACTAAAGGACAAAAGAATTGAAATAATATATATTTCCAAGGGTCTCTGACTTTCTGACTGCTTCTATTAATGTTCGATACTTAATATGAAAAGCAAGTACTAGATCTCAATGATTATATATATTTATTAAGGTATTTTATTTTCCACTAGGCCTGAAGTGCTACCATACATTTCTCCTGACATCATGTCTTATCTAATAAAATTTAAATTTATTATCCATATTTTGAATAAAATATTAATATATCTATAGGAGTATCACAATTTGAAAATGTAATTTTCATAATCGAATCCATCGATTTATAGATGATATAATAAGTACAACATATTTTAAGTGTTTAAATGTACAAACTAAGGCCAAAAAAACCCTGTACAGTATAGAGGTAATTTAGATTAGAATTAAAATTGCGGTTATAGAATCAGAAACTGGTCTGCCAGAAGAGTTTTTAAAACATGCAGTACCGGACTATTTAGTAAAGGGTACCTGACCTCTTTTCCCTTAAACTGTCAAATTAAAAAAAAAAAAATTAAAACAGCCAAATAACAATAGCCATCCAGTGTGAATGAATCAACATTATACCTTTTTCTTTTTGTCAAATCGGCAAAAAATATATCAGAATTTTGGTAACTAGTTTATGTGTGCCATGAGGTGAAGAGGGTTGAAAATTGCTGCTATAAACCAATGCACAGAAACTAGGTAATCACTAGAAATTTAAGTATTAACATATGGAGATTAATATATAGCATTGAAAACATAAATGAGCAGAAGAATATAAAATAGAAAAAGAGTAATTCCAAAAATTTAAGATCAGTGAATTTTCTGTAAAAATGATAGAAAGGATTATTAAACAGAATGTGAACTCTTAGAGAAAAAATGGTGATTTACTCTTTTATGTTGGCATGGTTATTTTCTCATTAGGGTAATATTTTGATTTCAGTAGAGTATTTTACATAGTACCTGGTGATACACTGGTTCACATAATGGGGAAAATGATAGTCGGATGATAGCAGATTTAATTCTTAACTGGTTGACAGGTTTCTCCCAGGATTACTGACTAATGTTTTAATGTAAATCATTAAATGAGGACACTGAATTATTTCAGCGCTCTGTCTTTAAGCCTGTTTTACTCATTTCTATAAGCACCTTGGTTGAGGAGTCAAAAGAAACATTTGTATTAAATTGTCAGTTAGGAAGGACAACTAATGTACTGGTGCAATAGACTCAAGACTTAAAAATGGGCCATTTCGTACATCTTTGGTCAACTGGTTTTTGATAACGGTGCCAAGACTTCTCACTGGGGAAAGATTTCAACAAATGATGTTGGGACAGCTGGATAGCCAAGGGGAAAGAGTGAAGTTGGGTTCATACCACAGTGTGGGCAAAAATTAACTCAAAATTGGCCAAAGATCTAAATGTAAGAGCTAAAACTTCTAAGAAACACAGGAGTATGTCATCAGAATTCTTAGATATGACACCAAAAGCATTATCAACAAAAGAAAAAATAGATAAATTGGACAATCAAAATTAACAACTATCATGCTTCAAAGAACATCATCAAGAAAGTGAAAAGACAACCTGCAGAATGGGAGAAAATATATCAAATATATATCTGATAAGGCCTTTGTAGCTGAATATATAAAAAGCTCAAAACTCAATAATAAAAAAAGACAAATAATCCAATTAATTAATAAGCAAAGGATCAGAATAGACATTCTTCCAGAGAAGATATGCAAGTGGCTGATTAGCACAGGAACAGATGATTGATATCATTAATCATAAGGGAAACGCAGGTCAAAACCGTGGTGAGATACAACCTCCTACCCACTAGCATGGCTAGACTCAAACAGTCAGATAGTAACAATTGTTGTCGAGGATGTGGAGAAATTGGAACCCTCATACATTGCTGGTGGGAATGTGAAAATGGTGCAACCACTTTGGAAAACCGTGAGTCCCTCAAATGATTAAACAGTGTAACTGTATGGCCTAACAATTTCCCTCCTAGGTATACATACTGATGGGAAATGAAAACATGTTTCTATATAAAAGCTGGTACAGGAGAGTTCATAGTAGTATTTACGGTTCATAATGTCCAAAAGGTACAAACAGCCTAAATATCCAACAGATGAATGGATAAACAAAACGTGGTATGTCCATACAATGGAATATTAGTCAGCTATTTTTTATATTTAGCTTCTTGACAGTATCCTTTGATGCACGGAAGTTTTAATTTTGATGGGAAACAACCGAAAGACCTTCCAGTCACGTGGTTTACATCTGTATGCTGAAAAGTAATGACTATCGTTTTCCAATGAAAAAGGAATGACTTTCCATTGTCAGAGAATAGAGAAATGCCATTTAGCAAGGTCTTTACTGGTATTAAATGAGATGGTTCCTCTGCTGTTCCTTGATTGATTGTTTTCACCATAGAGTAGCTTTGTTTAAGAGGTCATTTATTCAGTCACAAGAATGTAATATTTTCAAATAAATAATCCACCAAAAATAAGATGTTTAAACCTTATTTTTCAAGGTTCAAGTAGTTCTCTTACATTTATGTTGAACTTCTGATAAGATATTTGACTTTAAATTGTTTTTATGTCCTCTCTGAACTGATGGTTATATTTGATCAGCTTTCTTTTATAAAATTTGAATTTTTTACTAAAAATTGAATAATCATAGGATAGATTTCTTTAATTTTCCCTATCTCATTAGGATATTAATTTAGAATTCTTATTGCTGTTGGATATTGGTTCACTCAGAGAGTAAAATCTCCTCTATAGAGTAACATTGGGATCGTGTGGACCTAAAAAATTGCTGTTAAAGAGGTTTCAGTTTAGAAAAACTTTTATGATCAAGTGAAATTAAGCCATGATACACAAGTAAATCTTCACCCCCACCCTACCATCCTAACTACCACTTATAATTTTCAATATTCACATGTCTTATCCCATCCTATTACATCAGTCACTATCTTCTTGCCTTTAATTTTCCATTTTATTTATTAATGTTAAGATATTAATGGTATATTAGCTTTTGGCATTTCTCCATTAAATAATTTTAGTTTTTGTTTTTCTCTGTCCCCCATTCTCATAGGTAAAAAGTTGGGACAGTACCTAATTAAATATGGAAAGTGTTCAAATGCATAATAATATATAGAATTATATAGCTGCGTATTTTGAAGGAATTATACAAAAGTATTAAATATGTTAATAGTTATTTTATTTTTTGTAAGTATGCAATTACATTAAATCCCCAAAGTACTAGGTCTCTGGATTTCATCATTTGCCAGTTAAACCTGAAATGAGCCAATAGTCAGTGATTTCAGAATAGCCCAGAGTATCCAGTTCTGGAATTGGAGTAAAGTTTTATGCCATCATTTACATTTATTTAGTTACCAGTAGTTCTAGGTAACATATTTTTTAGGTCAAAAATTAGACTCATCAAGAAAACGGATTCATCTGACAGTATTTTATATTCAAAGTTTATTATATTTTATTCAACAGAAATGCACATCAAAACATCCACCCAGAAAACCAAGAACTAATAAGGGTACTTCGAGAACAACTTCAAACAGAACAGGTACTGTTTATGTAAATGTGCATTTATATAAGGAATAGATGTTATTACTCCCCTTGTATATGAAATTGTGGTGAAATATTAATAAACTACTTTGTGGAAACATGGCTTCTTTCCTACTTTAAATTACCTTAAATAATTCTATCAATTGTTTATTTTCAGATTAGGCAAATGACTAGTCTTAATCTATTCAGGTATTTTCATACTTTTTTAAAAACTTGCTTTTAAAGACAGTTTTTCTGTTATTGTGAGGAAATAATCACTGTCTAATTGGCTTGTGTGAAATGTCGTGGAAAAGCTATTCTAACATATATATCCCAAGGACCTATAAAAGGTAGCTTTTTTTTTCTTTTCTTTTTCTTCAATGGTCAAAGTTAAGATAACTGGTTAAGCAAAAAAGAAGGCTTTTCTTATCTGCCTCTTCTTTGCTTTTAACCAGATGGACTCTGTAAGAACCAGAAATGTAATACATTTTATGAAGGCTAGGTTAAGTAGGATATTGTACACGTTCATGCCAAGCTAGCTCACATCAAGAAACAAAATTTAAAAACAGATTTTCTAACCACCAATCAAACTTTAATGCCAAAGAAAGTTTACCCATATCACTTATCTGTTTACCAAATATTTATTGTAAATCTACCGTATACCGGACGGTGTTCTAGGAATTGGGAATGCAATTGTGAACTAAGCAAACAAGAATTCCTACATCATAGAACTTAAATTCATTGATGCAAAAATAGTTTAAGCGTGTTAGCAGTACTCTGTTCCAGACTGGTTGTTATCAATAATTCATGCTGGGACAGCGTTTAATACTTTACAAAATGATTTCACATACTCTTCTTATTTAATCTTCAAACATAATAAGTAAGGCAACTATTATTATCCTCATCTAACGTATTAGTTCACTATGACTTGTGTAAATTCACCCTGGGATTACATGACTAGATCTAGATATACAGAAGTCTCAGACTGAGGGGGATCTTCCAGTTCTGTACCACAGTCCCATTCATCTACCTCATGCCCTCCTCACACCTGGCATATAGCTCTAGTTAGGATACAGCTAGTTAGCCTATACTGTGCTGTCCTGTATAGTAGCCACACATAGTTATTTAGTTTTAAATTAACTAAGATTTAAAATTAAGTACTTTAGTCACATTATCCATATTTCAGGTGTTCAGTAGTCAAGTGGCTACCATATTGGACAACACAGACAGAAAATTCCCATAATTGCATAAAGTTCTGTTGGACAGCACCGGTAATTTGTTTTTCATCGGTTAATTTCCAAAGAATAATAATGGATAGAAAAAGTAGAGAGGGGAACATTAAGTGAAGTATGTTTTTCTTTTTTGTACCATTGAAAAATGACATAAAATACTGTAACATCAAGGTGTGACCTTGGCTTATAGAATAGTCTGGTGTTGTAGAACTGTTTTAGGATACAGGGGATTTATGGTTCATTAATTTGTGGTGACCAAAATCTTTAAATTACTTTATAATAGTTCATATTTAGTGAATTTGATACTTTTTACTTTGATAATTTTTTGTTTTTGTTTTTTAAATTTTTATTTATTGATGTTTAAAGAGAGAGAGGAAGGAAGAGAGAAAGAGAGAAATATCTAATTGTTGTTCCATTTGTTTATACATTCATTGGTTGATTCTTGTATGTGCCCTGACCGGGGGTCAAACCCACAGCTTTGGTATATTGGGACTACATTCTAACCAACTGAGCTACCTGGCCAGGGCAGTAATTTAATATTTTTATTTATTTTATTTATTTACTTATTTATTTTTTATTGCTGTTCAATTACAGTTGTCCCCATTTTTCTCCCATGACTCTCCCCCACTCTGCCCACCCCCTGTAATTTGATGTTTTTAATGCCACCTACTTTGTTTATAACATGTGTGTCAGGCACTATAAAAACTTTTGATAAGTATTTAAAGATACACATTTTGTAGAAGTAATGAATAATTTTTTAGTCCCTGAGATACTATTACAATGAGTCCTGCAGATGAAGTCCTTGTTCTCGTAGCACTCACATTCTAGTGGGTTCTTTGGTATCTAGATGCCTCTTGCACTGATGACTTTATTCAACATTCTTATTACAGTCAAAACAGTGATGTTTACTAAGAAACATTAAAATTTATTAAGTGGATTATGCAAAGGATTAAGTTTAACTTACCACTGGCCTTATATTTTTCTACTTCCAAAATGACCAAATATTCTTCTCTGAAAGTTTAATTCTGGTTTATTATAAGTTTCATCATACATGTAACACTTGCTAGGAATGTATGAATGAAGAAGTTGTTAAAAATGAAAAAAAGCTAATAACTTCAGAAACAGTTTGCCATTTCTTATTTTTCAGTTATGCATTAGCTAAGCCTTGTGTTACTCAGAATAACTTACTCATTCTGATGGAGTAAAAGAGAAACTCATGAGTTATTCTGGGTTTTTATCTTTAAGCTGTGTTCAGGAAGGAAGTAGAGACCATACAGTTTATAACTAAAACAACAATATAGCTTCATAACTTATCCAACTTGTAAGGCCTTAAATAGTTGAAAATCTAAAATTTGATGAGGATTACACAGTATCGACTATTCTTAACTATTGTTTAAAATAAGGATAACTTTGAAAAGCTTGTCATGCCGTGTATAAATGTATACACATATTTTCTCATCAGGATGCACCTGCTGCTGCTCGACAGCAGTTTTACACTGACATGTACTGTCCAATCTGTTTACATCAAGCCTCCTCCCCTGTGGAAACAAACTGTGGACATCTCTTTTGTGGTAAGCAAAAAGTACTATACTTGGTAATAGTGACTATTTGGCCCAAGACCCATATGTGCACACAGGCTGGATTCCTGTTTTTCTCTTTGTCATATTTTGTATTTCATGAATATTGTAGATTGCTCTTGATACCCTGCTCTACATATTGGCCATTTTTATTTATTGTCTGTTAGTTCAAAGATTTAAAATACTAGTTATTCAACTTCTTAATAAACAGAATGTGTTTCTTTGAATAGTAATTCAGGTATATCAATACCTTGATGGATTGAGTGACTCATTGTTCATTTGCTTTTTAGTAGTTTCATTTATTATTCAACCTTCCCAAGGCAGGAAGGTTCTTCTCTCAAGTACCCTGCCCAGGGCCATCCCTTAGCTCTACTAACTCTTTTCTTACTCTGAGTCAGTCCAGAAGTTCTTAGATTTTCTTTCTTCATGACCGCAAGAGAGTTGGTGATGGAGAATGAGAAACTTGGAGGATGCAGTGGAACAAAAAAGGGCACATTGATTTCACACTTATTTATTGTCAGTAAGGGGTACTTTTCACCCTCCAGAAAGACTTCATAGAGATTAATGAGATACCATATCGTCAGTGCTTGTTATGGTGATACGAGATTGGGGAGAGGCAGTTATTACACAACACTTAACATTCCTCATCTCATCTAACCTCACAAAACCAAGGCTCAGAGATATTACGAAATTTTCCAAAGGGTAATCCAGCTGCCAAGGGACAGAGGCAGGTTTTAAAACTATGTCTAACTTCAAACCCTATGCTCAGTTCTACTCTTTAATTGGTGGCTTATACAATTACTTAAAACTTATCCAGTGTTTTATTGTAGTATTTCTTTGGGTTTGAACAGCTGTATTCAAGATAGGGTTCTAATTGGTCCCAAAATGCACAGTTTCCATGCGAAGACTAATTTAAAAAATGGAGCATACAATGATCCTATAAATTACTTTTGCTTAGACTGATAATATAGAATGCTTAGGTATATGGTGTTACTGTTTATGCTATCAGGGACGGCATACATATTTGAAATCCAGGATTTTCTGTGCCTTGTGCTCATTTAGTAAGTACTGACCAACCCCACTGTTACCTCATCTAGTAATTCCACCCAGTTTCCTAAGGTTTTTGCCTAAGTAGCTAACAAATTATAATTCTCTGTTGGAAATGCTAATGAGGAACAAAATAATGACAGATCAGATAGGGAGAATTAAATGGCCATCAGAGAAAGCAGATACTTCCCCCCACTCTCAAACCTCTGGTAGATATTCCTAATCAATTGGACACTGAGTCTGATATGGAGTCAGCCATCCTTCAGAAAGTGTTAGGAATCATTGCATTTTGGCAGGCATGGTGAACTCTATTTGCCAACCCAGGCTTAAGTAATTCACTGAGTGGATAACCAAGTCAATTGAAAGATGGCTGTATTGTGTTCTTGGTTTTACCTTTGGGTCTGAGGTAATAGGATAGATTGCTTCTGATATCCTGCTCTACTTGTTAGACACTGTTATTTACTGTCTGTTGGTTCAGAGGTTAAAAAAACTAGTTATTCAACTTCTCAATAAATAAAAAATGTGTTTTTTTGAATAGTATTTAACTATATTGATTCCATGTGTATCAAGAGCACTTTAGCTTAGTTCCTATGCATAGGCCTAGTTCTGCCCCTTCACAGTGAGTTAAAAATAATACAGCAATAGACATACCTTACTGGCAGTTGTAGCCCTCATAATTTTATTTAATTCTCCAGCAGTCTTATGAGGTCTTGTTCCCATTTGAAAAAATAAACAAATTTGGAAAAATTGTAACCCAGATTGAAGCCATTCAGTCATCTCTCCCACACATCCTATGTAGGTGGATCTCTTTTTAAAGAAGAGAACGTTGAGAATAAGGAAATGCATCAAGTGTGTCATAGCAGATGAACTGAAGTGTTTAATTTGCTCGACCATAATTTCTCAGTCAGGCAAGTGGTCATTACATAATTTGCAAAGCAAAGACACCTATACCCCAATTTGTGGAAAAGAGATGTGAGATTAAATAAGTTCATATACGTCAAAACACATTGAAATTTTGAGTGTGACAGTACTATATAAACCTAAGGCATCTTTACAAATGATAATACTACTAACAGATTTATAATAAGCTTTGTTTTTATGTAGTTTCTATATGAAATTAGATTGCTCAAAGTACTTAATATTATCTAATTAACACTCTAAGAGTAGGGAAAAATATCAAATATTGTTTAGCTTTTAAATTCATCTTTAAATTGTTGAACCAGTTTTGCCCCACAATCACTGTAATGTCCAATTTGGACGGCCTTCGCTTTGCCCATTAGTTTGCTCACCACTCTCCTCACAAACCATTTATTTTTGCCTTTGGCGTTTGCTCTTGCTGCTCATAAAACCTGGAGCATCCTCCCTCCAGAATTCTGCCTATCTAAATTTTTGCTATCCTATGAAGTCCAAATACTTCCTTCTTGGCAGACTACTCTATAATACACCCCTGAGATTCTTCCCTCTCTGTACTCCTTTTATACTTAGTATTACACAGTTCAAGATTTAACTACCCTCTGATTGATTTAAGTATGTCACCTTGGTTTCCTCACTTTGCCATTGGTTCTTCTGAATTCCAGGCATTTATTTGATCTGGAAGAATAAAAATAAGGAACATAGGAAGGCCAAGCTAGGGTGCTAAAGCAAGAGGAAGAATACAGAGAAAGTCCTGGAGGTGTAGGAGGGTGACCGGAAGTGCTTAGTTCAGATTCACAATGAGACCTGGATGGTCTGAGAAATGGGTGTTCTGCAGAGGGGAGAAAGAATTGGTCCCTTAAACATCAGACACTACTTAAAATTTTTTCTTCTTCATCTGTTACCGGTCTAAAATTTAGGGCTTCTACACCTAGCTCACCTACTACTGTCTGAGCTCTTCCTTCAGGCTGTGGTTAGCCGTTTTGCTGCTCACAAAAACCTTCAAGTGGAAAAATCAAACCCATCCAGTACAAAAGTTGATTTTAGTTATTGAACTGGATTATCAACTTTATTAGGGCAGAGAATATATAATCTTTGTATAATTTGGTTCCTTTTTCACACTACTTAACAACTTTTATTAATACTTAAGTAATTTGGCTCTCTAAGTTCATAAAAAAGTGATTGTGTTTTTGTAATGTGTATGAAATTTCAAATAGAAAACTTAGGCTGTGATTTGTTGGTATCATTTATACAATGATGTTTTATTTATTTTACATAAGAAATGCATTATTTTCTAGTAAGCCTCACAGCACTGAAGCGATTAATGCATGCTTGGTTTTGTCTAAAAATATCTGTATCGTCAATGGTAGTTTAAATAAAAAAATTTTTTAATAGGAATTGTTGTGAGATTTGAATTTGCCTGAACAGATGCTGGATAAAGTTAAAAAAAATGTTAAATAAGATGATAGTGTTAAAATATTTCCAATATTTAAAACATCAGTATTAATTTTTTTTCCCATTAGGTACCTGCATTATTGCGTACTGGCGATATGGTTCATGGCTTGGGGCAATCAGTTGTCCAATCTGTAGACAAACGGTAATGTTTGTATCCAGAAAGCATCATAAATGCTAGTTCATTTTGTAAATACAGTTTCTGTACCTGACTTCTGAATTAGTTTGATATTTTTAGCAGAGTTCCCTTTATTCAAAGCTTCTATGATGTTACTACATTATTTCTTTAATGTCTTTAAGACACCTCAAAAAAAGGGATTCCCTTTGAAATCCTTCAGTTGAAAGAAAAACAAATGGTAAATGAATCCTCTCCCAAACCCTCAAACATCTTTGCTGTAATATTACCAAAGGAATAACTGAACTGACTAATCAGGCTTAAGCAAATAACCCCTTTACTACTTTTGAAAAAAATTGATTTTCCTTTTTAACTTAATTTTAATCTGCCCTCTCCAGTAAGGGTCCAGATAGTTTTAAATAATGAATAATAATTTTTTAAAGTGTCTTTTTTTGAAACATAATCATACTGAATTACTCAGGACAGATGTGACCATTATAGTCAGTCTAGAAGCTGTCTCAGCACAGAGGCAGTGAGTTTTTGTGAACTTATATCGAAGACTGAAATGTTAGCACAGATGGGATTGCCAGGCTTTCTCAATTTCTTTGACAAACTGGAGAAAGCAATATACTGAAGAATCTGAGAAACAAAAGTTCTTAGTTTTTTAATTAATAAATATAGCAAAATAGGACATTTCTCTCAGTTGTTTGTAGTTTTTCATAATTTCCTTTATAGTTATTTTATTTTCCACTTAAAAATAGACACCTTTCTGATAATGAGTTATGAACATGTAAAAAGACAGCATCTACTTAGGAAGTCTTTCAATGTGCAAAATAAAGTCCTAAAATGGATAGTTTCCAAGTAAATATGTCAAATTGGATGCACGTATTTACTTTTGCTCCCTCTTACAACTTCTCTAAAACAACAGTAAAGGACACTGTGTAAAGGCATAAATCAGCAGAGACCAAAAAATAAAACAATAGAAGAGGTTCCAATTTTTCAAAATTTCTTTGTAAAATAAAATAGACCCACAGAAAAGCACACAAAACAAAGAAGTACAGTTCATTGAATTATCACAAAGAAACGCTTGAGTAATCATCACTCAAATGAAGAAACAAAAATTGGCCAGCAGCCCCAGAAGCTTCCTCAGGACCCCACCCAAATCTTCACTCCTCTTTTGTCTCCTGTAGGTAGTTCCCATTTCGCTTTTATAATAAGCATTTTCTTGATTTTTCTTTATAGTTTTATTGCCTTAGCATACACTGCTAACATTGTTTAGTTTTTCCTGATTTTTGGACTTTTTTATAAATAAAACCATATGGTATGTATTGTTAAATACACACACAGGGATATACAAGGGTGAGCAAAAGTAAGTTTAAAGTTCATATATAAAATAATACAATAATTAATAAATAATAATAATAATTCAGTAATAAACTCTTTCACATACTCAAACTATAAACCGACTTTTGCCCACCCCATATGCCTATCAGCCTTTGTTCTGGCCACCTACTCTTCTTCCCCATCGCTGCCTTTTTTTGTGGGGGGCGGGGGTGTAGGAGGTTCAGGGCTTTCTCTTCTTCCTTCTACATTCCCGAAATCTGCTTCTTTCACATTTGACTCTTTATCACATGGTCAGGAGGAAAATCTGTTTTGTTTTGTTTTTTGTACTGCCTTTCTGGATGATTTTCTATGTGACACAAAGCAGTCAATACTTAAACTTCTTTGCCACTACCACCTCTCATCATCTTTAGCTGCCAGCCGCTCTGAGACCAGACCAGGCCCTAGGTCTTGTGTTAAAGAATTAGTTCCACCAAAGGCCTGGAAATGGAGTATCCCCTGCAGCCTTGCAGCGGTGTCCAACCTGCGGCCCAGAGGCCGCATGCAGCCCAGGATGGCTGGGAACGTGGCCCAACACAAAATCATAAATTTACTTAAAACACTATGAGATTTTTTTTTTGTAATTACGTGTCACAATGTATTTAATGTGTGGCCCAAGACAGCTCTTCTTCCAGTGTGGCCCAGAGATGCCAAAAGGTTGGACACCCCTGCAAGAGAATGCAGCCATGCTTCCGCCTTGGTATTAGGATTTCTGACCTTCCAAACTCTAAATTGATACATTTGTCTTGTTTTCAGCCACTTAGTTTGTGATAACTTGTTAACAGCAGCATTTGGAAACTAATATAATTGTCTTTGCAATTTTTTATTTCTCACTCTGAAAATTTTCCCAAATTTCAGAACTGACTTCAGTCGTCTTCTAGACATCTCTACTTGGATACCTCACCAGCATTTTAAGTTCAATTAGTCCAAAATTAAAATTATCTTTCTCCAAAAAAAAACAAAAACAAAAAAGAATTAGTTGCTCCACCTGTAGCTTTTCATAGGGTATGTATAAATTTATCAGGTGGTATCCTTTGGACCACCTATAATTTGGCCAGAGGTTAGAAGGGTGGAGATAGTTATTTGAATATAGTAGCTTTCAGTTTTCTAATTGTAGAGTAATTCATCCCAGAGGCAAGACAGATGTCAGATACCTGCTTCACCTGTTTCACTGGAAGTAGTAATGCACAGGCTGACACTTCCCTGCATGAATGCATCACGAGCACACCGACCTGCATTTTTCAAGGGCTAGCTTACGTTACAAGCTGTCTGGACACCCCAGGGAGAAGTCTTTTCAAGTATCATTAAAACATCTTAGAACCGGGTGTTGCACAGGTCTACCTCCCTTCTCTCTTGGGAATTGTGATCACCAACAGGCAAGGCCGTGTCTTTATTTTTTTTTAATTTATTGTTTTTTAATTTTATTTGTATATCAAGCACTTAGCACAGTGCCTTGCTCACAGTAGATGCTCAGTTAAAACTTATTGAAAGAATGCATTTTTATTAACAAATTCATGAAGAGGCAACAGTATATGCACGCCTTTGTTTTAGCTGTTTGGAGAGCATCTGAGAAATGGGAAGCCCTAGTTTTACAGCTAAACTGAGGAAGGACAAAGACAACAGCTATGATTTAAACCTAAATCGTCACTTCTCCTTCCCATCTTCATCTCATTGTACAGTAACCATTTCTGTCAGGGCTTTTTGTGGTCTGTCATCTTCAGATCACCCAAGTATGGTCCTGGGACATTTGTGTATCCTTACATCTACCATGGAGGAAGAGGGGTTTAATATATTATATTATATAACAGTATTAAGCATTACCTTTTTTGATCATAGTAGGGCTAGGTGCTTGAGAGCCAGTCCTCGCACTAAGTTAATGTCTATGTTATGGCTGGTAATATTTAAAGATATTTCAAACACCAGAGACTTTACTCCTGAATGTTTTCTCATCATTGTTGTATCTTCAGCTGTAACTACCCTGGTGTGGACTGGAAAATATTAGGACCAGTGTTTTGATAACATGCCCATTTTATTTTATAGATGCTCAAATTACATTTGCATTGGATTTTATTGAAAGTAGGAAAATAATCCTACTTTCCTCCCCTGTGTTGCCTTTATTAAAGGAAATGAGTGAAATATAAATTCAGAAGATTTTCTTGTTTTATTGAATAACACAAAATGCAAAAAACTAATGCTGCAGAAAGGTACAAATTTTTTTTTTTCTGTATTATACAGGTAACTTTATTGCTACCAGTATTTAGTGAAAATGACCAGTCTCAGGATGTTGTATCATTGCATCAAGATATTAATGATTATAACCGGAGATTCTCAGGGCAACCCAGATCTGTAAGTAAAGTTATAGCAGGTACAAAGTTAGAGGGACCAAAGTTCAAGTATAACAATACTCTCTTTCGCAAAGTGAGATTTACTAACAAATATTCTTTGAATATGAAAAACCTCAATGTTTGTGTGTGTTGGGTAAAGATTTTACTTTCATATCATTGTTGTCATTCACTGAGTTACAGCTTTCCCAAGGACTACAATTTTGCTATCTCAAAAAAAAAAAAAGGCATTGTAAAAGTCATTTATGAAGAGATAATGGCAAAAAATCAGTAGGAGAAAATTTGAGGTAAATATAAAATTATCAACTCCTATGTGATTCTAAAATAGGTTTTTACTTTATGAGAAACTTACAACTGAGAACTTCTGGAGAGAATTGTACAGTTGTGTTTTACTCTAAGTTACTTACCTTGGCCCCGTTTGAAATGTTCCCTTAAGTAACCCTGTATGTCATCTTAGCTATTCAAATCATTCTTTTTTTAATTCTAACATTAATTCTACAGTTGACCCCTCCCCTAAAAAAAAAGGCATTTGATAGATTGAAAACTGTTACATTTTATTATCATTCCAGTTTTATCAAAATATAGTGAAGAACTCTAGAAGTGTGTGTATGACTGAATCTGTATTTCAAAAACCAGAATATACTAAGTATAAACTTAGTATATGGAAAGCCCAGGTCCCTCCCACGAGCTCTAAGACGGTATATATCCACCCGCTGAGCTTACATCTCCACTTGGATGTTCCCTAGGCCTTTCAAACTTAACATGTAGAATATTAAACTGATTCCCTCCCCAACTCAGTTAACTCTTTTTCTCAGTCTTACTGAGCTCCTTGTCTCCCTCATTCCCTTAATCTGATCTGTAAATAAGTTGTACGATTTCTTTTCTTTTGGGTGAGTCCTGTCATTTTCACCTCATAAAAATGTCCTGTGTCTCTAGAGCCATCATATTAGTCAAAGTCACCGTCCTCTCTTGCTTAGGACACTTGCCATGGCCTCTCACTTAGACTTTTTCTCTGCACAGCAGTCCAAGTAACATTTGAAAATGTAAGTAAGGCCATGATGCTCTTGTGTTTGAAAACCTGCAATTTTTTTGGAATCATGTTCCAACTCCTTCCTGTGGCTTACAAGGCCCCGCGTGACCTGGCCCTCCCCTGCCCCCACCATACTTCAGCTACACTGGCCTTCAGCTCTCGGAATAGCTCCCAGTTTTTCCACATGATGCCTTCACTTGTGCCTTTTCCTGTTTGGAGTGCATGTTGCTCTGCTCTTCTCACGAGTGATTTCTCATCCTTTAGGTAGTTCTAAAATAAACCTCCTCCAGAGGCTTTCCTCGACAACTAAGGCATTCTCTTACTGCTCTCTGTACATTTTCTTCATGGCATCTGTCACAAGCGGCACTCAAATCTTGTTCATTGTCTTGCTCTCCATAGACTGAAAGCATCATGAGAGCAAGGACAGTGCTTAGTCAGTCAGTACTATATGCTCATTGTGAAATGCAGTGTCTGGGATGTAGTAGACCCTTCATGTGTATTGAGTAAATTAATGAATTATCCTTGAGATAATTAATACTCTTACTCCCAGCCAAGACTATAAGCTATTAAAACGTTTTAGTAATAAACAACTGTGTGCTCTTGTGCTCCCTTGCTTATATTCCTCATTCTGTAATGTCATTTACATTTAAAGGTATACAGTTTCATCTGTTGTGAATGATAACAGGTAAATCTTTTAGATGTTTTAGCAACAAGAAAAACAATCCAGCCACTGTTGTCTTCCATAGTTGCTTGATCCAGCCATTTTTATTTATTTATTTATTTATTGATATTTTATTTTTTTTATTTTTTTATTTTTTTTATTTTTTTGCATTTCATTTTTTTTTATTAATTTATTTACTTTTTAAATACATTTGTCTCTGCCTTCCCCCCACCTCTTTCCCTTGCCCCCTCCCACCTTCCCTCCCTCAGCTCTTCCCCTTTGGTTTTGTCCATGAGTCCTTGCTATATGTTCCTTGACTTTCCCCTTCCCTTCCCTTTCCCTGCTCCCCCTTCCCTCTTGTCTCTATTGATTTCTTTTCCTTTCAGTGTTGCTGGTCTTATTTTCCTTGCTTCTTTGCATTGTTGGTTAGGTTCCGCTTATAGGTGAGATCATATGGTATTTGTCTTTCACCCCCTGGCTTATTTCGCTTAGCATGATGCGCTCCAGTTCCATCCATGCTGTCGCAAAGTTTAGTACTTCTTTTTTCTTTCTGCTGCGTAGTATTCCATTGTGTATATGTACCATAATTTTTTGATCCAGTCATCTACTGATGGGCATTTAGGTTGCTTCCAACACTTGGCTATTGTAAATTGTGCTGCTATGAACATTGGGGTGCATAGGTTCTTTTGTATTGGCGTTTTGGTGTTCTCAGGGTATAGTCCCAGCAGGGGAATCGCTGGATCAAAAGGCAGTTCCATTTTCAGCTTTCTGAGGAAATTCCACACTGCTTTCCATAGTGGCTGCACCAGTCTGCATTCCCACCAACAGTGGACTAGGGTTCCCTTTTCTCCACAGCCTCGCCAGCACCTGTTGTTTGTGGATCTGTTTATGATGGCCATTCTGACCCGTGTGAGGTGGTACCTCATGGTGGTTTTGATCTGCATTTCTCTGATGGTTAGTGATGCTGAGCATCCTTTCAAATGCCTCTGGGCCCTTTGTATCTCCTCCTTAGAAAAGCATCTGCCCAGGTCTTTTGCCCATTTTTTGATTGGATCGTTTGTCTTCTTGGAGTAGAGTCGAGTGAGTTCTTTATATATCTTGGAGATCAAACCTCTATCTGATGTATCATTAGCAAATATATTTTCCCAAATGGTTGGCTCCCTTTTCATTTTGCTGATGTTTTCTTTAGCCGTGCAGAAGCTTCTTATTTTTATGAGGTCCCACTTGTTTATTCTTTCCTTTATGTCCCTTGCTTTAGGAGACATATCAGTGAAAAAAGTGCTGCGTCAGCCATTTTTTTTTTAACATATCCTCCAGGGACACCTGTAGGATGATTCTTTGAAAATCAGTGTTTCAAATTCAAGATCTACCATTGAACTTTAAGATAATAATAATAATTTTAAGATAGTCATTCATACTTTTAAGTGTGAAGCATACCATTGCTCAGTTCTTATTTGTGTGTGTGTGTCAGATTTATATTTAACAAGAAAGCTTGGTCTGTGATGATGTTACAATATAGTAAAGACAGCTCTTTGATATTCTGCCTCAAAGTTGGGGTAAGATTGTAATTAATACACAAACATTTCTTAGTAACTCTTTTCATATTTCTTGTCTAATTATATATTTTGTATAAATAGTGCCATATGAGCAGTGAAAAATTGCTGATAATGGACAGAAAATTATTGTTAGAATATTTAAAGTAATTTACCATTGACTTGTGAAAAACGTGTAGCTGTTTTGCTTTAAATATTAGTTTCTTCCATAGAGAGTAGAAAGTTAATATAGGAAGTGACTCTAAAAAGACCATTGTTTTTCATTTGTGACCAGTTTTTCCAAAGGAGTTTCAAGATTTTCTTTACTTTGTATTTTTAAAAAGGTTTTCTCATCAATTACCATTTTTGTCTCCATTTTCCTCTCAATTTATTTGGCACTTGTTAAATCAATAAATATATACGGAGTTGGATTTATGATATTTATACAGATTGTTAAAAATAGCTGAACTGTGGGCGGTGGAATGACTGCAGGAAGTGATTTACTTCCCCTGGTCAGTTTGCCTTGTATCTACCAGCTTCTGAAAAATAAAATATGTTGAAGAGTCACGGTAGGTTATTACTACACAGGACCTTATATCATGTAGTCCACTAACAATTACACAGAACAAATGAGAAGTTTGCAGTCAGAGAATAAACTGATTTGCTCAAGGTCCTATAAATACAGGATGGGGCAAAAGTAGGTTTACAGTTGTTTGTGTGGAAAATAATATAATAATTAATAATTCAAGAATAAATGCTGTTTTGGATACTCACAATTATAAACCTACTTTTGCCCCACCCTGTTAGATTGGTACTATTTTTCCTTTTTAATAGCTTTATTTAGATGTAATTTGCATGCCATAGATGTATGTGTTTTAAAGTATACAATTCAATGCTTTATAGTATATTTAGAGTAAATATAATCTAATTACCACCATGATACAATTTTAGAATATTTCATTCTCCCAAAAGCTTCAGCAGCCCCTTCCCATTCTCCCCTGCGTCGTCCCCTCTCCCCAGTCCTTGGCAACCACTGATCTATTTTCCGTCTCTATAGATTTGGCTGTCCTTGATATCTCCTCTTTTTTTTTGAATGGGATCATATAATATATGGCCTCTTGTCTCTGGGTTATTTCACTTGGCATAATGTTTTCAAGGTTCATCCATGTTGTAACATACCTCAGTACTTCATTGCTTTTTGTCGTTTTTTTTTTTTTTTTTTTTCAGTTACAGTTGACATACATTATATTAGTTTCAGGTGTACAACATAGTGATTATACATAGTGATTATAACTTACAAAGCGATCACCTCAATAAGTCTAGTACCCATCTGACACTATAAAATTATTAGAATATTATTGACTGTATCCCTTATGCCAGTACTTCATTGATTTTTATGGGCAAATAATATATTTCATTTTGTTTCATGAGCTGATGGACATTTGAGTTGTTTCCACTTTTTGGCTATTATGAATAATGCTCCCATTAACTTGTGTACCAGTTTTTGTATAGACATGTTTTCATTCCTTTTGGGTATATATGCCTTGCTGTGCAGGTGCTGGATATTGCAGTTAACTCTGTGTTTCACATTTTGAGGAGCTGCTGAACTGTCTCCTAAGGGGCTCTACATTTCCACCAACAGTATATGAGGGTTCCAGTTTCTCCATATCTTAAAGTTTTTATTTTTTCCATATCTTAAAATTTTTTTAAATGTTTTTTGTTACAAAGTTCAGCTGTGAAAATTATGCTCCTTTATATAAAAACCTAGTAATTGATGTGTTTCTGTACATATTTAGGACTTAATCATTTTCAAAAAGGTAGGACTTGGCATTCCAAAAATCTTTGTGGCAATTAGGAATTTGCTTATATTCGAGCTAAGCAGAATAAACATCCTCAGAAGGGATCAGTTTCATTGCTATTCTCAGACAGTCATTAATATTGATGTGTCTTTAATATATAATACTTATATATTACCTGGTAATTTATAAAGGTCATTTATATACAATATCGCTTTCAGTTTTTGAAAGTCCTCCGTACATACATACTCAATTGTTGACTTATCTCTAGTAGGTTAAACAACTTGCCCCAAGGTCACCTAGGGGAAGTAAGTAATTGATTTTGAATTCAAACCCAGATCTATCTGACTTTAAAGCTGAGACTTGAGCTCAAGCCTCAGACTCTAATCCTATACAGTAGGTTCTTCATTTGGTTTATTTTACTAACTCAAATTAGAGGTAACTTGAGTTTTACATTATTATGTCCTATATTTTAAGTTTGCTGACATTTTAATCGCTTTTCAATTATCTGCAATAAAACCTATTTTATAAGAATCTAGTAATCAAAGAATTATTTTTAAATAAAATGAATAACCAGAAAATATGATGGTCAATCAATAGATGAAACTTAATTCATGTTAACTGAGTTTGTCTGTGCATTCTAAGATAATTATATTATTTTAAAATATGACGCGTTAGATGCCAAATCATAATATTTGTTTTTCCCCTACCAGATTATGGAAAGAATTATGGATCTACCCACTTTACTGAGACATGCATTCAGGGAAATGTTTTCAGTCGGTGGCCTTTTCTGGATGTTCCGTATCAGGATAATACTTTGTTTAATGGGAGCCTTTTTCTATCTTATATCACCTCTAGATTTTGTACCTGAAGCCTTGTTTGGAATTCTGGGCTTTTTAGATGATTTCTTTGTCATCTTTTTGTTGCTTATCTACATCTCTATTATGTATCGAGAAGTGATAACACAGAGACTAAATAGGTGAAAAAAAAGTTTACTAAAATATGAGCTAATGTGTAAAATCAAACAAAAGGACCCATAGCAGTGTAAAGCATTAGAATATTATCTTACAAACTGAAGACTGCTGTCAGACAAACATTTGATTCTTATTTGACAAATACCTAGCAATATATGACTGGAATTTTTACATGTTGCAGGTTCTAATATTAAGGTTAGAATTATAATAATTTACAACTGTATCTTGATTGTGTTGTCTGTAAAGTCTCTGGAAAAAACATGAAATTATATAAAAAGGGATGCTTTAATCTTTTTCTTTCCCCCGAAATTACTCAGATTAATTGGATGTATAGTAACATAGTGTTAAATGTACACTTTATCCAATTTTTCCTTCTCAGTGAGTACCTATATGATAGTATATTGCAACAAGACTCTAAATGTTTTTGTTAAAATAAAATATTGCACAATATTGGGAAAAAGTCAGTGTTTCTTAGCTAGTTAGTACTAGCTAAGTTTTGTGCATTTGGAGCAGTTCTGCCTTTCCATTCTGATGTAAGTCTTTGTTATCAGCTGAAGGTGAACAAAGAAACTTGAACTTTATAATCTAATTTCACATTCTGGTTTACAGAACACTAGAATAATTAACAAGATGTAAGACATTTATCTCCAGTCAGCATACTTCTGTTCTCAGTATGGCATTTAAACCAGAGTTTGATCCTTTTATACAACAGTGTATCAAAGTAACTTGCAAAAGGAATGTTTTTTCAGGAACCTGAATGATACTGCAAACAAGTAGTAGTTTGATGCATTTCTGAGAAAAGTGGTTCTTCACGGCCTGAGCATCAGAGAGAATACTGGGAGGGCGCTAGGGAGACTTTAAGTTTGACCAGAGAAATTACTGGTGAGCTAGAGTAACAGAACGGACACATTTGGTTCATTTTCTCTTGATAGAAAACTTGTGATGCTGTCCCTAGATGGTGCAAAATGAGCAAATGTCAGAGGTGATTCAATAGGAAAGCTATTTTGGTTTTTTAATGGCTACAGTGTAAGTATCTAATGCTCTCTTCTGCAGTTTTGTTTGAAAAGAGCCAAAACCACAAGTATTATGAAATCCCAACTCCCTTGGCTGGTACTGCTCAGTAGCAAACTGGACAGCAGGAAGGTTGTTGATGCCCAGGGGTGTTAGCTCTTGTCGCCTGCAATCACTGATAGTCACATTGTCCATTCGTGTACTAGTGAGCCTCCCTATGTATAAATAGGCAAAAAAAAGAACAAATCTGTCGCAGTCTCCCAAATTAATCAGATTATCCATTAACTAATAAGATGCTGAATAAAATCAATAATGGTGTTTTCTAATTTGGGCCTTGGACAAAGCTGTTGTTTGTTAGAGAAAAAAAACAGTAATGCTTAAATGTAGCAGTTTCTCACATACTTTCCATTTTACGCTTAAGACAGTTAGATGAAGAAGGCAGGGTGGTGTCTTTCATTTCACAGCTGAAATCCCTGTTACTGAGGACAGGGGTTTTTTTGTCTGAAGCCACCCACAAATAGTGACTGAACTGGTAGTAGACTCAATAGGACTTTTGCGTGGGGTTCAGATAAATGTGAGGGTTGTTACGAAGAAGAGAAGCTAGAGAGAAACTGGGGTCCCTTGGAGTCTTTTGGAACATACTGGAGTAAGATAGGTGCTACTAAGAAAGGTCTAGAAAGATGACATACCAAGCTTCATGAATCTTAAATCTGTACTTCTAAATCAAACATCTAATAGGATGACATACTTCACAAAAAACTTTTCAGCTGCAGCTACTAATTCTAAAAACTAAGGAGTAGGAGTTTGTTATACCAGACTAGAAATGCATTTCCTACCACTGCAAACTTGGTGTGCAGCTATAGCTATATAGCAATGTCATTTTTTACAGGATTTCATTCTCTGTGCATGTTCTGCTTCAAGTGTCACATTTCTAGTTACAATAATTTTATTGTGATATTGGAATTCTTTATAAAACTTTGCTGGTAGAGGTGTATTGTACCATCTTTTGTAACACACGGAAACACTGTATGATCTGAAGTCTTATTAAATACAAAAGGAAACACATGGGCAATTTAGAATTTTAGACCTGTTTATTATGTTATCTGTATTGATCACCGATAATAAATGTAGATGGTGCCCAAGAGCATTTAAAACAAGTAGAGTCAATCAGTGTTTCAACATAGTAATACCTCTGTGATTCAGAGTGAGATCATATAAATCAAAGCAACAATTTGGACTTTGTAAACAGTAATATCATAACTGTCACAGAAACAAATGGTCCGACCCCAGGAGCGGGTAACTTGGGCAGGTCTATGGAAAAAGATGGAGGAAACAGTTGTTCTCAATGCCCACTAGAACAGTGGTTTCAGCACCACAGTTCTCAGCATTTGAAAGCAACAGGGGAGGAAAGAACTGTCTTGATCCCTGTGGCTGTGCAGATACCTACCTCACAGAGTTGCAGAGAATTAATGGTTGGATTCAAACTTTGTGATTTAAGAATTTGTCAGACACCTGTTCTTTGGAATAAAAACAACATATCTAAAATTAAAAAGTAGCTGTTATTTTCATGTTTCTTTTATACTGTTTGCTTTAAAATTTAGAACTCCTGAAATAGCATTCAATATAATGGTTGCAATGGTTTTTTCACTAGTGGACATCGAGTATCTCATCACATTTCTAATTTTCCATAGATATTTTTAAATTTAAAAAGTAGAAGCGTTTTTGTTTTGAGGAAAATTACTTACCTGGGTAACCTATGTTAATTCTGGACAAGAAGGGTGGAAATGAAATTAGAGATTAGGCCTGTACCCTGATTCCCCATCCCTATTTCTTTTCTGCACGTAGTGACTGAAATTGCATATTTGATAACTGAAATGATCTTTTCTGAGTCTGTGCCCTCGTGTCTGCATCAACATTCTTTCCCTTGTCTTTGTAATACTAAAATGTACTCCAGGCTCTCCTGTTTTGCTAAAGAGCAACCCGTGAACCTGGGACGGGGTCACAATAGGAAAGGGCACTCAATGTTTGAAGGTCCTAAGACGTGTCTCTCAGCAAGCTGTAGGGGCTGCTGACAATCGCAGTGATAAAGACAGTTACTGAGATTTTGTTCTGTCAGAACCAGACCATTTTCATGGCATCAATATTAAAACATTGAGTCCTTGACTGCAAGCAGTTGGCGATGTTATCAGTCACTGTCACCTTCATACATCTGCATCCTCTGACTGGTCCCATATCCCACATTGGTGCCTGAGAGGAATAAACACTGAGCATGTTTGGATAGTTTCCTTACCAGACTAGTGGTATATAGTATAGGCCTTTTGAAGGGAATATAATATGGGATGTAGGAGAAGGGCTAAGGGCTAAAGATGTTTAAACTCATTGGTATCTAATATTTCAGATTTTAATCTGTTTAAAAACACAAAAACTTTAAAGAGTATTTAAAAATACCTGATACTGAAATCAAAACATTCACTCTTCTAATTGGTCTTAGGGATAACCTATAATTTTTATCTACATGAAACTTAATCTTGTTCCACCAATCCTAGAATATTGGAAATGTTAAGGGTCTTTACAAATTGGCTGATGTTTGTGTTTTCTCAGATGAAAGCTATAGATAGCTGCCAAAAAAATACATATATACACATGTTTCTGTACTTTCAATTCCTTTTCAGGGCATTCAAGATCTGAACATTTATGGAATCCAAATTAAGAATTCCTCATTTAGTCTTACAGCCTTACTCCACCGATGAAGACAATGAGGCCCAGAGAGAATAAATGCTAAGGTATTTTTTTTTAATAAAAATTGTTTACGGAAAAAAAAAAAAAGGATAGCTGGATAGAAATTAAAATCTAAATTGTTAGATACCAGTGAGTTTAAAAACAGCTTTAGCCCTTAGCGCTCACCTATGTTAAAAAACAAGTAGCTTATTTTTCTTCAGTTTATCAAGCATGACAAAGTTTATCCTAGAATAATTGTAACAAAACTTACTCTTCTAATGTGAAAGTTTAAATTTTTTTTCCTTAAAAAGTGTTACGATAGTAAATGAAGTAGGCTTTGAAAAACATAAAACTTTTTTAAAATTATTTTTTAATGTATTGATTTGAGAAAGAGAGAGAGATGGTTTGTTACTCCATTACATTCTGCATCGTTGGCTGATTCTTGTATGTGCCCTAACGGGATGGAACCCGCATTCTTGGCCAATTGGGATGATGCTCTAACCAACTGAGCCACCCAAAGCTACCCAGCCAGGGCTGAAAAATATCAAACTTCTAACTACACTTACTCAGTTTATCCCGATTTATTGTCCTTCTCTCAAATGAACATACAAAACTAAGGGATATATTTATTTTTGATATTTACTGAAGGGATCAAATGAAATCAAATGAACATAAACATCTCAGTCTCTCTTAAAAAAAGGCAGTCTTGCATATCTTATGTGGCCGTTGTTTGCTTAATAAACTGTTTTATTAAGGTAGGACAAACTCCAAACATTTTATAAATCAATAAAGGTCATAGGATTATCATAAAGTGAACACCGTTTAACCATCACTTAAGTCAAAAGACAAATTACCACCATCCTGTAAGTCTCCTTTTCCTCTTTCCCAAAAGGAACCTCTTCTGAGTTGTTTTACCTACTTTTTTATTACTCTACAAAAAATAGAATCAGCCTTGGCCGGTGTGGTTCAGTGGATTGAGTGCCCGCCTGCGAACCGAAAGGTCACTGGTTCGATTCCCAGTCAGGGCACATGCCTGGGTTGGGGGCCGGGTCCTCATTTGGGGGCGTGTGAGAGGCAACGGATGGATGTATCTCTCGCACATCCATGTTTCTCTCCATCTCTCCTTCCTGTACCCTCTCTCTAAAAATAAATAGTCTAAAAAAATATTTTTAAAAAAATCATGTAGTTTATTTTGTCTCTGGTTTAATCATGTAAGAACCATCTAGAGTATGGGTCATAACTTCTTTATTTTGATTGCTATATAGTAGTCATTCCATTGTATGACTATACCACAATTTATACATTCAACCATTAATGGGCATATGGACTGTTTGCATCAACATTTTCTAAAAATCGTATGATCGGTGGCCGCCCTTTTAAAGTGGGCGCAATGATCCAGCGACTTCAGCTTTACACCTGGCCTCCTTAAGCCAGCAGACCCAATGGACCGCATTGTTTTCCCTGTTAAAAGGCTCCTGATAAATTAACCCAAGAAAGGCGCCGGGGGCAAATCGTGCCCTGGCATGGAAGTCAGGCTGCGCTCCCCCAGCCTCTGTTCCCAAGGAGTTCCTTTCTCCCTTCCGGAAGGTCGAAGGTCCGCCCACTTCAGCGACGCTGAGCCCGTAGCATCACACGCCGGGCCTCAGCCAATGACTTGCTTTCCAGGGAACGTTACCTCTGACCTCAAGGCTAATCTGAGACAGCAGGGACGAACTCCTCGCGAGAGGTGAGATTGAAGCTTCCTCCGCCATCTTGGAGATGGGAGTCGGGGGATGGTTGTGGTCGTTCTGCTAATGCAAACAACAAAACGAGCACATCAACCACCCCCGAGTAAGGCTATCATCGCTGTAATTGCTGGCCAAACCTACAGAAGAAGCGAGGGTGTCACGGCGGAGAGCAGCGACATTGATAACAGTTTCACCTGCCTGCTGGGGCGAAAGGAGTGAAACGACTGAGGACCGGAAGGATGGTGCAGTCCTGTTCCGCCTACGGCTGCAAAAACCGATACGATAAGGATAAGCCTGTTTCTTTCCACAAGTAAGTGCCTTTCGCGCTTCGCGGGGTTGGCCCCTGCTCGCGCTGGGGGCGCGCAGCCGGTTAGGCTCGGGGGCGGAGCCAGAGCCGGGCGCGTGTCCGCGCGAGACCTAGCGAGAGGGGCGTAGGCAGGGGCGGGGTGCGGACGAGCGCTACTGGGGGTCTACTCTGGGCTGGGCGCTGGGCGAGTCCGCTGGTCGTCGAAGCACGCGCCCCGTTGCCGCGGGTTGCGCGTTCTTGGCGCGTGCCGTCACCGCTATAGATGACCGTTTCTCGTGCGCGAGTTCCGGCCGTGAGCGCGAGGCTCACTCGCCCCCTGGGGTTGGCTGGTTCGGGGCGGGCGAGGCCAGAAGGCCCTGAAGGTCGTGAAGTGTCCAGGCCGAGAGGCGTTTGGGTTTCACCATAAGGTCTTGGAGAAGCCTGGTGGTGATAACGCTTCGGAAGTAAATTTGAAAATTTTTTTAAAAAGTCACTTTTTTCGGCCTTGTGGTGGTTGGGAGGCCAGCATCATTAAGGATTGGTTTTTGGCCAGGATTTCAGGGAGGACGTGTATGGGCAAATTTCTAGGAACCAACCTTTAAGGAGCTCTTAAGTTTTAGAGGCAGTTTCTGGTACTGCAAAGATGAGTATGTTTTAAGCACGCAATAATGATAACATGGACAATAATAATAATATGTACCATGATCAAGTGCCGTAATAGAGGTCAATATGAGCTGCTATTGGTGCAAAAAAGGTGCTGCAGTCAGAGCCTTAAAGGAAAAATGTTTTCTTGAAAACCTCAAAATGGAAATGACTAATGGTAATCAAATGTCTTCAAAATGTGACACGATGGCAATTTTATTCAACCAAATTCAGTACAGTAAATTACAAATTTTATTACATTTACATTGAATTTTGCAAGAATTTCCCGGCTATGAATGATAGCTAAGAAATTAGAACCAGTGGTAAGTTAAACGAATTATTCTTAGCTAAATACACAAGCAAAATGTTCAATATTTTTCAGGGGTTTTTTTTGGGGGGGTCATTTATGTTTAATAGTAGATGTGGGTGCATTTTTATATTTTTGATGCAGTATGAGAAGGACCATACAGAAAAAAGAGTGCCTACTGCATAGGGAGATCTGGAGTGTTGATGTTTTCCTCTTCAGAGAAGGGAATAGGACACTTAACACTTACAGAATTCAGTTCAGTATATCTTAACATTACCTTTTGATTTATTGGAATTTCTGAAAGCTGATGAACTGACCTCTCCAGTGTAGGGAATCTGTCAGGAGATGGTGGGTGACACCATCACATTCGTTCAGCTCTCCACCTCCCCACTCTGATGATACAGCAAAAGGAATTTAAAAATGTGGAAAAGCTTTCATTGGTACAGGAAACTAGTTAAGGATGACATTCATACATCAGAAATACTGAGTTTCTGCTGTTAAACAATTGAATGGAGAGAGAGACTAACCTACCTCTCATCTTTTATCTATAAGAGCAAATTTGGGAGATGGGAAGGAGCTTGACAAAACTTCACACACAACCTGAGCACTTGTAGTCATGGAGTCTGGCCCTCGGGGCTGAATTTTACCAGTGATTGCTACTGTAGTTTACTTCTAGAAGCCATTTCTGGCGGGGATCTTCTAAGAGTGTTTCTCCAGTTTCTCTGTGGTAGTGGGGGGAGCTAAGCTGGACAAAGGGACTGTCCTAAAGGTCCCTTAGACCTTCAGGATAATAGAGCCAGGCTCTGGCATACTCTGGAAGAGAAACTGGAACATACAGTTGAAACATCCTTCTTTGGCTTCTTTCCAATCCCCCCAGTTGACTAAATCCCTGACCTGGAAAAATAAAATCACAACAAATTTAAACTCTTCCTACCTCCCTTTATCTGGGCCTAATAAACATATTTCAGTAGATTAAGAAGTTAAAAAAATTTTATTTATCATTGTAATTCAACTAAAATTTGATTCATTCGTATTTGTTAGACTGATTCTAAGACAACCAGAAGCTTCTTTTTCTCAGTGTGTAGATACAAACCTACAATTTTGTTTTACAGTGTACAGAAAATCACTGGTAAAAAAATGAATACAGATTCGCCCTATAGTATGTATTTTACTTGAAGCTTTTAGTGTCTTCAATATAAAATAAATGAGATAGATAGGAGAGCTACATGATTTACCCTTGTGTATTTAGATGTGTGTGGAATACCTGTATCTGTCTGTGAAAGTTATTTACTGTAATGGAGGAGGCAAAAAAAGTTTTAGGCACATGGGCCCTCCACCCCCAACCTTTCATTACCTACTCTTCCCACATCTGCCAACATGGCTAACTCTTAATGCTTATATTTTTACATTCTGTAAACTCTTACTTGGCTTGTCTTATTTAGATGGCATATCTCATTAGATCTGACATTCTTACACCTACTGCGTGATATAGTTAGATTTCCATAAGAAATACTTTTTTTTTCCTTTAAAGATTTTATTTATTTTTTTTTTTAGAGCGAGGGAAAGGGAGAGAGGGGAGGGAGAGAAACATGGATTGGTTGCCTCTTATGTGCCCCCAACTGGGGACCTTGTCCACAACCCAGGCATGTGTCTGAATGGAATCAAACTGGCAACCTTTTGATTCACTGGCCAGTGCTCAGTCCTCTGAGCCACACCAGCCAGGGCAGAAATATTTCTTCTATTAAAAAAAAATCAACCCCTGCTAGGGGGGTAACATATCCCACATTAGTGGGTGGTTGGTTTATTTATAGGATCTTTAAAACAAGTACATTCAAAAGCACAACTAATAACAACAAAAAAAGCAGTAGTAGTGTTTTGATTAAATACTCCTCAGTGTGTTAACACCAATGTAAGATAGTTCTTTCCTAAGCAGAAAAGTTTGGGAACTGAAATATGTCATCATCTTCAGGTTTCCTCTTACTCGACCCAGTCTTTGTAAAGAATGGGAGGCAGCTGTCAGAAGAAAAAACTTTAAACCCACCAAGTATAGCAGTATTTGTTCAGAACACTTTACTCCAGATTGCTTTAAGAGGGAGTGCAACAACAAGTTACTGAAAGAGAATGCTGTACCCACAATATTTCTTTGTACTGAACCACATGACAAGGTAATATGTGTTTTTATATATTGGATTTTTTTTCCTATTTTTTAAATTAATGTATTTATTGTGGAAATTTGGAAAATTCAGAGCAGCATTAAGAAAACAAATGTTACCTGAAACCTATTACTTGTAAATAACCACTGTTAACAGTGATACTCTTTTAAAAAATACAACATGCAGTTTATTAAATATCCTCACACTAAGAAACTCAATCAAGCTTTGTAATTTACTTTTAAGATCACTTGATACACCTGCTTGTATGTTGATCAGTTTTTGTCAGCAACAGTTCAAAGTATTGTTCTCCTCAGTTTTAAATACTACTTAGTAGTTAATTTAATGTTACCGTTCTGCCTCTTTCTTGAATTCCATTTCTACTTCCAGTACAAAAGTATAATTTAAACTTAAACTATTTTCTCATTTTGGAACATTTCTTTACCAAGACTCATTTAAAAAGTCTTAATTTTCTTAAATTGCACTGATAAATTTTTTTAAATTGTTATTTCTAGTTATTAAATTCAAACGTACTCTGCATTATTGTTTTAGAAGGAAGATCTTCTGGAGCCACAAGAACAGCTTCCCCCATCTCCTTTAACACCTCCCATTTCCCAGGTTGACGCTGCTATTGGATTACTAATGCCGCCTCTTCAGACCCCTGATAATCTCTCAGTTTTCTGTGATCACAACTATACTGTGGAGGATACAATGCACCAGAGAAAAAGGATTCATCAGCTAGAACAGCAAGTTGAAAAACTCAGAAAGAAGCTCAAGACTACACAGCAGCGATGCAGAAGACAAGAACGACAGCTTGAAAAATTGAAGGAGGTTGTACACTTCCAGAAAGAGAAAGACATAACAGAGAGAGGTTATGTGATTCTGCCAGATAACTACTTTGAAATAGTTGAAGTACCAGCCTAGAAAAAAAGAAATTTGTATTGGTTTTTAATGGGGCAATACCACATACCCTCTTCTAGCCTGTAAAGGAATTTCATCTGAAAAAATAACAGTTGGTTACTTGTATAAAAACAATTCAGAATATTTTTTAAAAAAATAAATTAGCTATATACTGTAAAATTGTTAATGTTTTTGTTTGTAATTTCAGGGTTTTTACATTTTAACAAAATATTTTAAAAGTTATAAACTAACCTCAGTGTGCAAGTGTAAGTTGGTTTCAAGACTAAGGGTTTTTGTTTTCTAATTTGAGTATTTATAGAAATAATGTAAAAATAAAAAGGAAAGAATGAGAACAGTACAGTAAGGATGATTTAAGTTTAAAATTTAAAATTAGTTTATTGAGAGAATTTAGTTATATTTAAATCAGAAGTATGGGTTAGACCATGGTATATAACTTCTCAGAATATATATAATCTTACACATTCTTATTGGTAAAGTCAGAAGATTCATTTATCTTTCTTAATTACTTGTCAAAGATAACTTGGTAAGTCAACCCTTTAAAAAAGAATTTCTTCAGAGCAGAAACTGTAGTCATTCCATACCTAATTAATATGGTTAAATAACTATATAATGAATGGATTTTTAAAAAGTGGGCCCCTCTTTTTCCTCCCAGTGTCTAGCATTATAAAATTAAAAGTGTGTCTCCAGTGGAAGAAATACTCTTTAACAAAATAGGCATTGTTATCCATGAAGTAATAAAAATGGGGGCCTGATCTGTTGTATGCCTTTTTCTCTCGTTACCCCTGAGCTAAATAAGGGACATCCAGTTCCCCAGCCATAGTTATTTTTGCATCCAAATCTTTAACAAGCATGTTGTGTCAGTAGAGTTTGATTTGTATCATAGTATGGTAATCTTGAACCTGACTAATTGATTTTGGTCAAGGCTTCACATAAGCAATGATTTCTTCACTTTAAAAAAAGGTTGGTTTTTTGTTTTTTTTTTAATCCTCATCCAAGGACTTTTTTTTTTTCCCATTGTTTTTAGAGAGAGAAGGGAGGGAGAGAAACATCGATTGGTTGCCTCCTGTATGCCCAGACTGGGCATCTTAATGTGCCCAGAATGGAAATTAGGCCCACAACCTTTCTTCCAACAGCCACATCAGCCAGGGCCGTTTCTTTACTTTTAACACAAATTAAAAATTAAATCCCATTTTACTTAAATGAGTGATTTGTATTCAGAAGCAGCCTAATATGTAGTATTTATTTTCCTGAATGTTGAGATTTAAACACTGAAGTTTCTGTTCAAACTGTGAATTGTATTCTGACTTTGTGATAAAATTTACATATATTTGAAATGAAATATGTTCTGAGTAAACAAATACTGCCATAGTGCTTACCTACTTAAATTTAGAGTAACTATTTCAACTGTAATTATTTTATATTTCAAAGTACACTGAGATAGTTGAAGAGTAACCTTTTAAGGCAGTATTAAAGATATGAAACAATGATGTTCAAAGTGTCTTTTGTAGACCTGTTTTTCAATGTAATTCACTGCCATGCTGCGAATGGATAGTACTTTGATTCATGGAGATTTGATTTTTAATGAACCAGTACTTCAAAAATAAAAAATTTCGATTACAAGAATACTAGACATTATATAGTCTGATAATATTCGGTACTAACTCTAATGAATCAAAGGACTTTTTCCAGTTTCATGGATCTCATCACCGTTTTTGGAAGTTGCAAAGTCTCTCAAGTAGTTTGTTTTTACACTTCATATCCCTAGCAATTCTTGGAGGATATGTGGGTAAATACTTTGCCAAAGTATATATTTTTTATCTAAATTGTCATGTATGCAAAAGAAAATCTGCATGTGTGTGTATGTGAGTGCGTGTCCCTGGAACCAACACTCCAACATTGAATTGTAAAAGTGGTAATAGTAATAATTACTTTTAGCATCTAGCATAATGATTTAACCTGGAGCTATTTACTTTTCGTAAGAGACATAAATCTATGTTTGGAGAGAACTGAACAAGAAACATGTATATCAACTGTTTGCATATAAATAAGTTGTAGTTTAACATAGGGATTTTGAGGTACAGGTGCTTATATCTGAATTTGAGATGTCACATTTGTTGAATTTTTTATAATTCATTTTGTCTATTGTACCATTTATGACATTGCCAAGAAAAGGAGATGTTTTGGGCTACGATAGGTCCTGTTCAAGCATAGTGAAACAATCTGAAACAAACTGGGAGAGGACTGATGTGAACAGCATATTCTGAACATTTATTTTAAGCACGTATAGTAACGTATAAAATTTCCACCTACGTGTGACATAATCTGTCAGTAATAGTGAGAATAAATAATTGTTTCTTAATAGAACTGCTAGGAAAACTATAGAATCAAAGAATTTTAGAATTAGAAGAGACTTAGAAATCATTGAACACTAGCCCAACCTCTAAACCCTAAAGAAATTTCCTTGTAAAATATCTCTGACAGTGGTCATCTGTTCTCTGTTTACCATTTACATATAAGCAATTCTGCTTAGATTCTTTAAAATGGGTTTCTGGATTAGAATAGAATTAGTTGCCACTGTTTATGCTCATTTATAATACAAATATAAATTCACTTTGAACTGCTGCATAGGTTGAACTGTCAAATTCCAAATTACAGAAGTTTTAAATTTTTGTAAAATTTAAATGTTTACTAACTGTATACCTGTTATGTGTGCTAAAAATATCTCTTGTCATTGCAGTAAAGAAATAGTGGTGTCTAAAATTATTAGCAAAACTTTTTACTTGGAAATTCAAGTACATAAAGAGATTGTTTTAACTTGTGTAATCCCTTTCTTAGAAGCATAATAATAATAGTGAAGGTAAATGAAAGTTTCACTTGACATGGATTTTTTTAGGTTAATGTTTTTTGATCATCTTTATCAAAACAATTATACAGACATGCACATACCTAATACTTATGGCTTTTATAAATAGTAAGCGACATAAAGTAATATATTTAAAAGTCCACATGATCTGTAAAAAGAAAATTCCATTTGTGTTCCAGAATTTTTAAAAGACAGCCAGCCATGAGTAGTAGTACTTAAAGGGGAAGAAGTGAACAGATTTGCCTGCTTGCTTATTATTCTTTATAATGGGGAGTGAATTGGATGATTAGTGAATGAAGAGCATTGCTCTTGTCTGATGGTAACTGGTATTTCTGGGCATTATGGTTTAATACAGCTGTGTATTAAAATACAATCCTTGATGTGAAAAAAAAAAAATCAAAGAGCAAACTGATTTTTCCAGAGAAGTAGAACAATTATAATTCTTTAACTTAAAATAACAGAAAAGTTAGTTCAAATATCCTATAGCTCTGTGTCTTGGTATCTTTTTTACCTTGGATGTGGTTTTAATATGAGTTTTTTTTTTCTTAGTGATAAATATTTTTGAAACTCAAAATCTGTTGAGAGTGTTCATTTTTAAAATATCCTAAGGGATATGTATAAACTTTCATTGTTTTAACGATTTTTGGTGAGACAAACTACAATATTAATAAATAGACCAAACTTCTGGAATGCGTTCATGAGAAACTCCGACCTGTTACCCTCCGTAACTAGCGTAACTGATGAAAATAAATTTTACACAACCATTTTAAGTCTGCAGATTGTCCTAAGGGCACTAAACAAATGAAACATTAAGGAAAACCTACATCTCTAAGAACTTTGAGTTGGTGGCATTTGTGCCACTACCTGTTCTCTCTCCCTGCATGCCTCCCGCCCACAAAACACGCAGCTCAGTGCTACAGTACCTCCACTCTGGGTACGGCCGAGAAGGCAATGCTGCTCTTCCCAATTTCTAACCAAGGACTATAGTATCTCCCAGGGAGGGACAGGCTGCCAGTATTTCTCAGGCCCCTCTAGCTTTGTGTTGGAAAGGCTATAAACTCCAGACAAGTGCAGCCAAGAGGTCAGGTCTTTTCCCAGCCAGCTCCGAGGATGGAAACTCTCCCCCAGGCACAGCTGGCCACGAATACCCTGGCACCCTGATTACCTCTTGCTTGCTTACAAGGTAACTTCCTAAAGAGAGCCCGCCCGAGAAGACTGCAAGCTTCCATACCAAAGCTGTTTGCTCTACTCATAAAGCTGGCCTGTCAATCCTAGAGTGACCGGCCACGGTCCTCACCACCAGCATCAGAACAGTGACTCACTTCTTTCCCCGGGGAGAGGCAGCCCAGCCCAAAAGCACCAATAGCTCTGAAGCTTGTCCCAAAGAAACGCATTGGGAAGACCGGGCAAGTTCAAGCCTGTCCCCAGAACTCTGGTAGTGCCCTGAAGACCTCGGTTCTTATCCTCTCGAAAGATTTCAGGCGAGAGACGCAAATGGCAAAGCCGGCAGCGGTTTATTGGCAAATGGGAAGTACACTTAACAGACTTTAAAGGGACTTGAAGGGACTGTACAAACCCAGTACCCCGCCAGCTTACACCCTGATGCCTTTTATACTTGCCTGAAGTCCCCGCCCACCTCCTGGCTCCCGTCTGCACCGCCCCCACCCTCCCGCTGGTTTGTTCCCGCCCATCGCATGCGCAGATCTCTGCCAGTAGTGGGCGGTCCTACGCCTGCGCTCTTTGTGTTTGAGGCCCTGCGCGGACTCTTCACAAACAAGTAAGGGTGTGAAGCCGCCCTAGACAGTATTAGGAGCAGTAAACCATTTGGTTTTCGGCTGATGGTTATGTGTAAGGAAAGTATTTCCTTTTCGCTATCTATCCCCTCAGTTCTGTATAGGGTTGATATTTTCCTTTCCCTATCTGACCCCTCACCGATTCTTGTCTAGCTGGCTTACCTTTCCCAACAAAGCCTGAGTCCTCTGAAGAACGATGGAGAATTTAGTGATAAGCAATTAAAAGGAGGCTGGTAGCTCCCCTGAAGCAACAAGCTAAATTAACCGTAGGCTAGTTAATTTGTCAGAGATAACCAAGGAAAGAGGTATAAAAAGCCCTCCTGCAGTTATAGCAGACCTCAAAGAATCAACTACCTCCGCCAAAAGGCCGAAATTTAGTTGGATGACACTGCCGAGCAATTTTTGCCCCAGGGCATTATTGAAAACAGCAATCCACTGGCAGCTGAAGCTAACATTTGAGCATACCAGTAAAGGCATACAGTTTAACAGAGAAATCTGGAAAATGTTCAAAGAAAGGGCTGTTAAAACCTCACCCTAGGTGACTGCATGCCCAAGGCTGCACATTCTAAGGAATGAAATCAGAGAAAAAGGTTTCTCAAGCAAAACTGGAAGTCAAAAGGCTGTGGGCTGATGTATTCAAAGTGCTAAAAGAAAAAAAAAAAATCCCTGTAAACTAAGAATCCAATATCTGGCAAATCTGCCCCTTTAAAGTGAGAGAGAAATTATAGCATTCCCAGATACACAAAAGCTCAGGGAATTTATTACCACTAGACCTGCCCTAAAAGAAGTGATAAAGGGAGTCCTGAAGATTGTGTAAAAGGAAACACTAACTTGAAGCAGTGTGATAACAAATTAGAGTGTAATAACTTCAGGATGTAAAATTTAATCCCCATGGTAATGATGCAATGGTTTAGAATATACACAAAAAGAAATGAGAAGGGAAGGAAATGTTTATAAAAATCAGTAAAACACAAGACAATAGAGCAGAATTAGAAGCACATCTTTCAGTGGATTCAGTGCAGGAAATAGACAAAAATACTATAAAACATTGAAATCAAATAACTAAATGACAAAAATAAGTCCCTCTATCAATAATTATATGTAAATGGAATAACCAATCAAAAGACAGATTGGAACAATGGATTTCAAAAAAGCTCAAAATGTTGATCTATCTGCTCTCTCTAAGAGACTCACTTTAGATCCAAAAACACAAATAGATTAAAAGTGAAAGGATGGAAAAAGATATTCCATGCAAATAGTAACCAAAAGAGAGCAGTAGTGGCTATACTAATATCAGACAAAATAGGCTTTAACTCAAAATATTGACAAGAGGCAAAGAACTTTTTATGTTAATAAAAGTTTCAATACAACATAAGATACAACATTTATAAGCATTTAGGCAACTAAAAATAGACCATCAAAAAATATAAAGCAAAAATTGACAGAATTGGAGAAATAGTTCTGCAAAAATGGTGAACTGAAAATATTCTTAAATAAACAAAAACTGAAGGAATCTGTTGCTAGCCAATTCATCTTAAGTAAAGGAAGATAAAGGCAAGTGATACCCTACAGTCATTTGAATAAAAAAATGCAACGATTTCCGGTAAAGGTAGTTGTGTAGGTAATTATAAAGACAGTATAACTGCATTTCCTTCTCTTAACTGATTTAAAAAGCAATTACATAAAAGTATGTGTATTATTGTATTGTTAGGCCTATAACAGAGAAATGTAATCTATTTGACAATAACAATTGGGTGGGAAGAAAGCTGTGCTGCAGTAAGGAAATAACACTAGTTGGTAACTTGAATCCATAGGAGAAATGCAGATTAAGAAGGAAGGAAATTCTGACATATGCTACAACGTGCATGAACCTGGAGGATTCCAATTTATATGAGGTACTTTAGTCAAAATCGCAAAGACAGAAAGTAGAATAGTGGCTTCCAAGGGTTGTGGAGAGAGGATCATGGGGAGTTATCGGTTAATAGGTGTAGAGTTTCAGATTTATAGGATGAACAGATTTATGGGCATGGATGATGGTGGTGGTTGCACAAGGTGAATATATTTATTACCACTGAACTGTACACTTAAAAATGTTTCAGATGGCAAGTATTATGTCTACTTTACTATGATTTTTTAAAAAAGTGATGTGGGCCCTGACCGGTATGGCTCAGTTGGTTGGGTGTCATTCTGCAAAGCGGAAGGCTGCCAGTTCAATTCCTTGTCAGTGTACATATCCAGGTTGCAGATTCCGTTCCCAGTCGGAGCATGTACAAGAGGCAACCAACTGATGTTTCTCTCTCACATCGATGATTCTCTCTCTTTCTTCCTCGCTCCTTCCCCCGTCTCTAAAAATAAGTAAAATCTTTAAGAAAAAAAGTGATGTGGTATTATTAAAACTCAGGCTGATGAAAAAATTCACATAGCTGTCACTTATTAGGTAGAGTTGCTATGACTCCCTGTCTTGGTAGTATGGCCTAATGTATTAGTGTCCTATAGGATTCAGTGGCACAGCCTCCCCTATCACCCAATCTGGGTACTCAATGTTTTGCCCTTCACGTGGGCAGAGTACACTCTCCTCTTGCAGTTGAGCCTTGACTGCTGTTGGCAGACCAGTCAGCTACAAGGACTGGCCGTGGCCACTGACCAACAATCTCTGCCTTCTGTGGAGGATCATCTGCGCAGGAGGAGGGTGGTGGCACTCTGATGTGGTCTGTAGCTCTCCACTGGGTGTGCAGGATCTGGGGTTTCCTGAGTGGGACAAGGTCAGGTCCCACTTGTGTTCTGCCTGGGGCTACTCTGCATGAGCTAAAAAGCAATCTGAGGTGGCTGCTACTTGTGCTGGGCTTGGAGATTCCCAGGTGAAGCCAAGCTGTGAATCTAGGCTGGCTGCTGCTAGTGCTGGGCCTGGTTCACTTAGTAAGAGGCATGTGGGCTGAGGGCTCACTGAAGCCAGCTGTTGCTTGTCTGATAGGATTTAAGAAGTTGTGAAGCATGAGCCAAGACCAGCTTGGGTAGGCCCGCAAGTCTGTGGGAAAGAGTCTCAGGGATCTTCAGGGCAGGGCAAACAGTGACATCCAGGTTGATGGAGTCAGATATGGCACCTTCCTGCCAGCTCTGTGCCTCTGTGGGGGAAAAGTTCAGAAAAGGGGCAATGGCCTCTGTCTACATTTCTGTCTGAGAGAAAACTGTCACTCATCTCCCTCCTTGATGCCAGCCATTTCAGTTCCTCCCTGTATGCCACTGGTGCCTTTCAAGCTGCTACTCTAATGGTGAAGCTCACAGGGAGTGAATCTAAGTCCATGTGTGGGTTCTTTTAAGGGGAAATGCTTGGGACTCCAGAATTTTCTTCCACCAACTCAATTGCTGCTGGTTTTGCAGCCAGAAATTATGGGGACTTACCTTCCTGGCACTGGAACCCTGGGCCGGGTGGCCTGGTGTAGGACTGAGACTTTTCACTCCTAAAATATCCCTATTGAATTTTTATCTTGAATATTTGGTTGTCTCTTATACCCACCCAATTGGACAAACACCAATCCAGGCATGTGCCCTGCCTGGGAATTGAACTTTTTGCTCTGAGGGATGATGCCCAACCAACTAAGCCACATGTGTCAGGTCCTTAAGAATAAATTTAATAAAAGAAGT